AGTGGCACTTTATATCATGGGCTAAACACATTTATACAATTTACTCGGAAATGGCTCTAACGATTTTGATTAAATTCATTATATCAGTGTAAAATTAAGCAGTTTTAAATAAAATGTAGTTTTTATTCTGATTGATGTTCTCTAACAGGGCTTAAATGACTAATTTTAAATATTAGCTTCCTCTAAAGTACTTTTAATTTTTTTTATTTGAATTAATTCTCTAATATTAAAGATAGTCAAATATAAAATATGAAAGAATTTGATAAATAATTAAAGGAGAAATAAAAAATCGTAACAGAGAATAGTTGTAATTGATTGCAAAAGATTGTAACATGAGCTTAACATAATACGGACTCCGACAATACTATATAAATATACATATGCGGTTTTCATAAATGCTATTGTTGGTATTATTTAATATTTAATTTTATAGATTACACCGATATAAATATTAAAATTTGTATATGTAAGGGTACTGATACATATAAAAATACCCAAATTGAAATATAAATAATAAATAAATAATTATATATGTAAAAGATACAAATAAATGGAAAATAAGTAGGAATAAAAATAAAAATAATATTCTATATTCTCCTTTATTTTTATTTTTATTCCTACTTATTTTCCATTTATTTGTATCTTCTACATATATAATTCTTAATATTTAACTACATTGTCACCCACTATATCTCTGATACCATATTTTATTTCTGTATCTAACAACTTCTTCGTATTTTATATATACTTATATTTATTTTTTATTTTCAACATGTTTTGTATCGTTCGTAGCCCTGAAGACGACCTGCAAAGTGGGTCGAAACGTCGGCAAAAATTAAAATAATTTATATATTTTAATTTTTTTTTATTTATTTTATCGCACCCTCGACTAATTCTTTCTTTTTTTTTCAAATTATTTTTAAGAAGATTTATGAAAAAAAAATCTTTCGGGCGGAAGCCTCCCTCCCCCAAAATGGTAAAATATAACCATGTTTTACAGAAAAAAATATTAAAAACTATCTTTTAAAGTATTCTTGTTCGTTTAATTACATTTAATAGGACTTCAGGAACCACTTAAACACCATTTCATATAGGTAGTTAATTTCTTTCTTTTTTTTTTTTCAAATTATTTTTATGAAGATTTATGAAAAAAAAATCTTTCCGGCTGAAGCCCCTCTACCCAAAAATTAAATCCTGGATCCGCTAGTGGTTCGGATGTGCCGTGTGTCTGAATAAACTGCCACTGATTAAACTATTCTTCCCTCCCAATATTTTTTAAGTGCGGTGAATTATCGAAAGACGAATTTCCTACATGAAAAAGTGGAAGAACTCCAGTTGAATGATTCAGAAAAAAGAAAATATGTTTTTGATCTGGCCATGAACAATTTAACTTTTTCCTTATTTACAATTAATATTAAACCCTGCCATCAGCGAAGAACCAATTGCACGTTCCTTGTCCCCTCCACACTTGCAACAAGGAAGTGGTCAGTTATTGCTCGGACATCGTATGGATTATCTCCTCTTTCCGGTATTATCGATCAGGCATTGTATTATTCATGGATGACCATATTTAAGTGAACGCTTCCTAATGTAACGGCCGTTCGTCAAATATCTAGTGAGCTTGTCTTCTCCGACCACCTTTTGGTTCAAATACAGTAATTAAAAACTCTTTCTACTTTTTGAAGAAAATATTTCACAGACAATACTTCAGTTAAATTAACAGAGAATTCGAAGACTTCGGTAAGTAGTATTTACTAGCAGTAGTATTTACTGCTACTTAGTTATTTGTGTCAGTCTATTCGATTACATAATACTTCTGTTTTTTAGCTGAACAAACTGGGTCAAATAATTTTTGTAGTCAGCATACATCTTTGTTTACTAACCTACAGGATGATTTTAAAGATTTTTTTACCGGTTCAAAAACTTGTTGACTAGGAAATAATAAATATGTTTAAACAATTTATAATAGTGATGAGAGAATAATTTTTAAAGGGTAAATACACATTTAATTATACATAATTTTAAAAATTTAACTTTAGAAAGGAAGAAAAAGAGTGTTTTTATATGTTGCTATTGTTATTGGGACTTAAGTTTTAATTGTATAACTTAATTTATTTAATCTTGGCGTTTACCTATTAATAATATTTAAGAAAAAAACTGCCCCTGACTGTAATTAATCTCATTTTGTGTCTAAAAAACAAATGTTGCTAAACGTTCATCAAAAGACCTTCATTAACTTATATTTGGAGAATATTGGTGTATACTCGTATAAATTATCATTGAATGATTTTTTTTTTAAATTACACTAACAACTACCAAATTGGTCAATTGAATGATAAAATATTTTAAATTCCGGTAAACGAAATAAGGAGATCAATATAAATATAGGGATCCTCCAGAAAAAAAAAATGCTACTTATTTCGTATTTAGATTTGTTTTATTATTTTGATCCTTTTCGATCATTTTAAAAATATTTATATTGAGATTTATTAATTTTTTCCAATAAGGCACTCTACACTAAACGTTACAAGCAAATATAGAATCATGTAATAAAGGTTTTATTGGCTTCCTATTCACTGATTATAAAAACAAATAATTAATAAAGAAAAAAAATATATAATTCGGGAGGAACAAAAACTTAATGCCTCATTTTCAACTGCAACGCCACAATTAATGAACTACTTTTTAATAACCTGACAACCCAGTTTAGGAATAGCAAACAATTGTTTGTTGACGACAGCGAATGTTGGATTATGTAAGCTCTTGATAATAAGTTACAACTGAATCTAATTTGCCTAGAAAGGAGTTATTAAACACCAATTAACTTGAATATGAAGATTTTTTAAAATATGTTTCATATTAAAGACGTGTTGTCTATATTCATGAAGGTGGTCCCAGTCAATGGGTCACCAATTTCAACCAAATTATTTTGGGTGATACTACATCGAAAAATGTTAAGACATCCCGGAGTTAATTCTATAGGCCAAAGTAGCTTAGAAACAAATTATTTTATATAATTTCAATAAAAAATAAAATATACATTTTTTTTCTTTTGGCCTTGCCAGGATTTCTTGGTTATTATATAATAAATGATTTATTTTTTGTGCAGAATAAGAAAGAAATACAGCCTATGACATTTTTAAAGCAGTCGAAAAATAAAAATGTTTGAACAAAAGTTTTGCATAGAGAAGATTAGATTTTTTTCAAAAATCAGAAAAAGTTTGATAAAGAAACTGTATGGATTTACACGAAAATTATTCAGGATTTAGAGCCTGTGTTCGTACACGAAATGCTACAAATCCGATCTTCGTTTACACATAAAAAACAAAGATATAAAATAAAAATGTTTGAAAACTTTTTCTTTTTTTACTAACTCATAAAAGAGTGGAATTTGAGAGTTATTGATAAGGGTTGGAATAGCAGTAACTCAGCTTCCTTTTCAATGTTGATTTTGAATGCTTTAGTTAACTCCCGAAAAAACAAATCTTCCAAGAAAATCAAGTATAAAAATCTGCAATTTTTTTCTATAAAAAGTCATTGAATCTAACTTGCTTTTTAAAAACAAAAATGTATGTAGCTTATTTTAGTGGAAGCTATAATAATAAAAAGCTTTGCGAACCCGAAGGTTCGATGCGGATACCAACAATCGCGGTCTACACACCCCCTCAACCAACTCCTGCTCTAACCTAGATTCGCTAAATCATCCTTAACGCTATCTTCCCATCTTCGCTTCGGTCTTCACCACCGACGTTTACCCGTCGGCAAAGCACATATTAACATTTAAAGGATTCTTTTGTTACCAAACCCAATAATTTTAAACGCCCAATTTATTCGCCGCAATATAATGCCCGTTTATATTAACCGGATACAGCTCCGCAATTCGGTTGTGTAACTGTCTAAATTCTCCGGTTGACTCCTACCTATTCCGTTCTTATACTCTACGCAATTCTTCAAGAATATAAATTATATGATGATGTTTTTTTCTCGGATTTTTAAGTTCATTGAAACGAATGCTGGGACATATTTCTAATATTTGTTGAAATATTATCACCAAATATAATTTATTTTTATTACCTCCCCTTGTCAGTCGTTTGCTAAGACAATTGAGGCACAGAGTTATATCTGAGATACAATTTTAAATTAAAGTAAAATACGAACATTTTTAACCTACTTCAAAAAGGAGTTTACTTTTTTTCTTTTCTTTTCCTCCCTGTCTGACCATTTTTGGCATACGTGCGGATTATCTTACAGCTAACCAAACTTTTCTTGCAAGAAGAGGAAAGTCGACATTCATTCCATGGGTTTGCTAACAAATAAAATTTAACCTCTCAGGCCGAAATCGAAGTCGCACTGCTTTGGCTTGCCGCACTTTTGATCTGAAGTTGCTGCTAAGATGAAACCTTAAATCATTCGGCCACCACGGCCTCAACTCCAAAATGGATGGAATTTGCACAACAGACCTTGTACAATAATGCCAACTTAGCATTTAAGTTCAAATGTTTTGACTGCTGCCACTGCTGCTGGGGAGGGGGGGGAGGAGAGACTAATCCGGCAATCACTCGCTTTTCTGGGTCGAAACCCACGTTTCACCACCCTCCCCCCGCAGGCAACGACTAAACTTTGTGCTGATTCGCGTTAAGTCTGTATGTTTTATTTAACCTCTGTTTGGTAGAAAAAATGTGATCTACTATTGATATTAATTTCTTGACGGCACATTAGTCTCCGCAAATTCATTCTCCCTATGAAGCTTCTTACTAATAACTATTGTGAGGATTTTATAGACCGTTGGCAACAACGCTATTGCACTACAGTTAGCTTAATTCAACTTATCTCCTTTCTATAAAAATGACAAAAAATACCATATTCCATTGAAGAATGGATAGTTTCCTACACCTAGATCATACATATATATATAGCTTGTACTTGCTACAATTTACAAAGATAATATTTTATTTAATATATTAAATCCTATTTGTATATATTTGTTTCCAGATAATTTAATGAAAGACCGAAAATTTTGTAAAAAGAAGAACAATCTTCAAAAATATTTTATTCAAGACAGAATAGAAATGGTTCAGAGAGGACCCAAAACTAGAAAAAGGTAACTTTTTAAATTATATTAACCCCAGGACTAAACCTGGACAAACGAATCCTCGTACAAGACTGAAACGACAAGAAACCGCTTGACGTTTCCGACTACTCCATCACTCACTAGACAAACGCTGTAAGCTTCCAATTAATTACAAAAGACTCATATATATATATATATATATATATATATATATATCAATAAAGCCATAAATATGACTATAGTAAAGCTTATTGGAACTTCCAGAGTTGAGCTTTGGGGCTTCACTAAATCATCAAATTCCTCTCGTATCCACTCCTTACATTCCAAAATCTTCAATGCTTCTTACTTTGCCACAAATAAAATAATCCATAAAGAAAGTAAAGTTCTACATGATTTCTATTCGGCCCAATCCATATACGTATCCTTTTACAAAAAACTTCATAACCATCCGAATCCAATCGTTTCTAGCCTTGCTTCCTCTTCCATCCCTTATAACCCTCCGAGGCGTCTGATAAAAGAGGCCTCGTGATCTTAATTTAGAAATTTTATTAGAATGCTATCAATGGGTATAAGTGTTACCGTGCCATTGTATTTCTCTGTCTCACATTTACTAAATGTATATTTGTTTTTATACAGTTGTAAATTCCATGGATAAAATAATGAAAAAAATAAATTGTATTAATAATTTTTTTAATTTTTATTTTATTTTAATGAAATTTACAACTGTATTACATAGAAAATACAATAAGTAAATGTGACATTGATGACATGACATGTACAACATGAAGAGAAACTACCCATTGGTAGAACTCAAATTAAAGTTCTATATTAGAAAGTCTCGTGGCCATCTTCTTTTCAGATGCCTCGGAGGGTTATCAGGGATCGAGGAAGAAGCAAAGTTTGAAACGAGAGGATTCGGATGGTTCTGCAGTTTGTTATGGAAGGATAGGTAACTGGATTGGGCCAAATCAGAAACATAGGGAACATTAAGGTCTTTATGGATGATTTTATTTGTGACAAAGTAAGGATTTTACGAAGGATTTTGGATTGTAAGGATTGGATACGAGAGGAATTCGATGGTTTAGTGGAGCCTCAAAGCCCAATTCCGTAAGTCCTGATAGGTCTTATTATTGTAAGTGCTTCAGTAGTCGAAAACGTCGGGCGGTTTCTAGTCGTTTCAGTCTGGTATGGAGGTTGTTTTAAATTTATTTCATCAAACAATTTTTTTTCCACATAGTAAATTGTGGAACTTGAGTTAATCTAAGTAATATTTGGAAGGCCTAGTAACTAGTGATCGTCACTTCTTGTTGGCTTGAGATATAATGTAGGAAGAATTTTCAGTAATTGGGAAAAATTATTCTACCACCGCATTATTCACTATTTCTCGTGATTATACTAATGGTAATAATCGAATGCAAGGGAGATCGTAATCCATCTTTAATTCAGCTCATGTAGAATCTTTCTTCTGTTATTTCCGAGCGACAATGCCAACCTAACATCTTAGTTTAGATATTTTTCCATACTGGAACTGGTAATGGTGAGGGGAGATAATTTGGAACGTAGGCCTTGCAGCCTTTTTTCCGATCCCAGAGGGCTACCTACAGGTTGCTGCCTCGTAATAACTAGAATGGGAGTATCAATATTCATTCTCGGGACGTCCAAGAAATAATATTTGCAGATGGAATTGAACCCATAACGTTCAGAGTCGAGTACTCTGTTATTCTCTAAGATGCTTGGATATCACTTTCCTACTTGTTGATGAAATGTTCGAATTATAACGGAGCTTTTCACCAAGATATTTTCTCAGTTTGTGGGAGCTGTTTCATGGAGTACGGTATTGGTTACACATCACCATGTTCGTTTCTTTTCCTGTTGATCGACTCACCTAGTAATGGCATACATGAAGTGGCAACTATCATTTTATCTACTGAAATTTTTGAGTGCCAAAAAAAGGTTGAGAGTTCTTAAAACGTATTTCAGACTATGGCGCTCATGAATTACCCAAGAAAAAAGAATTCTAATTTACTTTTTCACATTTTTAGGACATATCGACAGCCACACTGCAAAACTCTGTATTCAGGAGACGAAAAAAAAATTATAATTTAGTTCTATGAGCATTATATTTTCGGTTCTATTTTTTTTCTCTATGTAAGTTTTTGTAAGTCGTATTTCTGCTAAATAATCTTTTAAAGCCATTACTTCTAACTTATGGCTTTTTAGTTACTTTGAAAAACGGTTATTAGTTAGGTAAAAGCAATTAGATTTATTGTAGTAACACCTATAATTTTTTAAATTATGATCAGATCATGACAGGAACAAAGTCAGTTTCCAAAACGTAGAGAAACGATACTTCAAATTAAAATTTCTAAAACATTTGGGTGGAAAGTGAATATTTGATCACACGGGTTTTCACTTTTTTGTCTCCTACTGTTGGGGAGGCTCGAATGAACACACGCGCCTCATTTTGGAGTAGTCTATGAAAGCTTCGTTTTTAACGTACTCAACTTCATATGAACATGATTTGATTCAGGAATCCTTGTATCTAAGTTTTAGGTAATCTGCTGATGTGTAGATCACTTCGTTTCTGAGCTTCTTGCGATTTCGAAGATTCACTGCTTCGAAAATATGAAACTAGTATTCTTTTTTCGTTTTATGTTAAATTTTCCAATTAATGTAATCAATTTTCTGTCTCTTACTATCTGGAATTCGGACGCATGGTATTTTTTTTTTTTTCCAGTCAAGCTCATTTTGCAAGAAGGCTTCGAAAGCCGTTCTATATTGTATTCCCACTTAACACTCTCTTCTTGCTTCGTCTTGTTCCATGGTAGGCAGTGCCCGTCCGAAGGCAGAAGAACCCGAGCAATTGCCTAGAAGTGCCGGGCTGGAATTGCCTGCCACTTATTAGAAATTATAAAAAAAATATTTTAGCCTATTAATAAAGCTAATTGATACTGTAGTCAATGCACCAAATACCATCATATATTTACATGACCACCTTTCATTGAGCATTTCATTAAGTTTTTTCGGTAACGACACAATCTCTATTAATCTTCACTGTAACTTACCGTTTTTTTACACCACAATTTGGTGGTTTAAAATTACACATTATTTTCAAAAGACCATAGAGAAGAAATGAAACATCGTAGATTTCATTTTGTGGGACTAGAATATGGACCAGGACTAGATTGAACAGAAAATCGCAAAAAAGAAGTGGAAATTGATTATTTGTAAATACAATTTTACATCATATAAGCTACCTTTCTGTACCAGATCATTAGAACTCATCGACACTCCTATATTTTCCATAGCTTACAATTTAAATACTCCATCCAATCCCATCCTACTAGATCTCGCACTTCCAACTTCTATTTCCCTCCTTACCGAACTGCTGCGTTTGACAAATCATTTGGAATTCAAGCTGTCTCCTTCTGGAATTCCATCCCTGATGATATTCGACACGAACCAAGTTTCTACTCCTTTCTCAATTCGCCTGATTACGAAATCTACCTAAGAGAGCTATCTAAGTACCCCCAGAATGTATTTCTGTTATTTTAGTTTTCTCTGTTTGTATTGTGTACGTATATTTACGCTTTTCATGTCTTTTTCTCTCTTTCCGACTGTATTTTTACTTTTAAATAACCAATATTGTAAATATTGGACATTATTTATGACCACTTACACATGTATTCAGCACTTATAATTTGTTCTAAAGGGACAATAGTCCCAGAATAATAAAATATATTTTCATTTCATTTCATTAAGGGATAGAATTTCAGTAACCAAGTAAATATTTATAGATTTTATAAATTAATTTAATCACAATACTGTAACATCTTCTTGAACATCTAGGTTATTATTTATAATATTACACTTAAATCCGCAATCACTTGAGTTACTTTTTATAACAATAGTTTCTATTTTAAATAATTAAATATATAAATAATATTAATTTGATATTGTTTACAAACTTTATCACTCTGATTGCTACCTTTTTCTTGTTTTGCTCGTTATCATCTCGCGCCTTTGTTATCAATGCCTATATAATACTTCAGTCAAAAAATATTTTTATGTTTATTTTTACGGCATTTAATCATTTTTTAAGATTTATTTTAATTTTTAATTCGAAAAATATATTTTTTACTTTGTTTCTGTAATGTTTTATTTTCTATTGCTGTTAAATCATTATTTATTCCGCCAATTCCAGTCGCTTCTCTCCTCTTGTCGGTGTGGGCTGCCAGTGATATGTGTTTATAATTTTAATAAAGTTAAGTGATAATTTTTGTTAGTATTTACTCTCAATGAAGGAAAGAAGACCGGTTCCTGCAATTTTGTTTGATTGTTAATGTTTAATTATACTTTAACTTATTGTTTACCATTAAAGGTTATATTTAATTCAAAATATTTTGATTTTACAACATTAGAGCTGTTTAGTTTAATTTTAAAAACACTCCGTGTTACAGACTTTATAATATCACAATGACTAAGGATTCTCCTGAGATGGAGACCTATTCCAGATTGCTGTCACATCTGCAAGAATCATGTAAACAAAAAAAGGCTGAAATTTATGATGAATTCATAGCTGATATTGCCATCCTTTTATCCAGCAATTCAGATATATTGAGGCTGATAGAAAATGATTTGAAATATATTCTTCCTTCAGTACTATTGTATTCAGTGTATAAAGATGTAGGAGTTAGAAATGCAGCTATCAAATCTTTCGATACATTCACCAATATTGTAAATAAGAAGCCAAGTATTAAAAATGAACCATGGTATAAAGATATGGAATGTACCCTAATTGCACAGTGAGTATTATATTTCTTTATCTGCATTCACTACTTTCTCTCCCCATTCTCATTTGTGTTTTGTGTTTAGAGAGTTTAGTTCTCATCTTATAAAACTGGTAGAAGTGACTGATAATACCTGGCCCCACATCTGGTCATTTGTTATAAGTCTAATTGTACATGATGAACAAGTTCATGGAGTGGCTATAAATTCTTTATTGAAAGTTGTTGAAATTGCATTTAAGGTAAGATTTTAAAATAGTTATACTCTACTTTTTGTGTTTATTAGCTTTTAATAACTACAATTAATAAGTTTATTAGCATTATTTAAGCTTATATTTTAAATTTTGCCTGTTTGAAGAAAAGTTATTTTCTTAAATTTAATGGAAATGTATTTAATTTATTGTGTAGCTGTCGAGGAAATTTGAAACTGTATTGGAAAAGGCTTATTATTGCTGGAATAGACTGATTGATATATTTTCAGTTCATCCGAGGATAGTCACGTCGCAAAAGTTAATCGAACTTCTAGTTAGGCCATTGTCAACAAATTTGTCTTTGAAATGCCCAAAATTAAAATTGGAGGTAAACATTTTAGAAATTTTTGCATGCTTTAAATACTGGAAAATATATTAACTGTGTTGGAATTCCAATTTGGTTGTGTAATGATTTTGCTAACATCCTTCTTAAAAAAAAAAAAAAAGAATGAATGAGGATTTAGTTTCTAAATTATGTTTAAATATCAGTTCAGTCAATCATTAAGAACTACTTTTTTTTCTTTAATTGTTGAATAAGTCTATATCTTCAATTCTCAATTCGTCTGTAAAAGTTTTTAAGCACATATATTGTTTTTATATTTAGTTATTTATGTCCTCTTTTAGGATTGATTTCATGTGTTTTATTAAGGTATAAACAAGTAAGTTAATGATTTTTTAATTTTATTTTTGGTGGGAAATGGTACAATACTGATTTATTAAAAGTAATAATATACAATGATACAAAGTACTTATATCACAAAGGAATTTTAGATACATATATAGCTTCACAGGGAATAAGCAGGTTAGTTGAAAAATGGTCCTTCTGAATTATATGTATTGTATTCATTTCTCTAGCTTTTTTCCTTGCCTTTTAGGCTATATGTTTTTTTTCCTGCGCCAGGTGAGAGATCAGAGTTAACAGCCCCTTTCCCAGCATTGAGATGCGAGCTTATTTTATCATATTACTTCAGTTGCTTCTGTCGGTTGCTGGGCAATGTGTATTTTGTTTATGCATTAGCTGTCGGCCACTCTGCCTCCATCATCTTCCTAGCCTTCTTGACACGGCCCAGAAGATCTTGGGAATTGTCACAACCCATTTGATTCATAATGCCTATTTTTCAAGTTACTATCTCATTCCCTGTAAACATTGTTAGTTTTTAATACTGGTTTCCAGTAAAATCTTCCTTTTTGGAGAGAGGCTTCAGCCTACCCTCTTATATTTGCGAGTGAGAATATTCATCTAATCAGTGTTAAATGCGATTAAGATGAGAAACTTATTTAACATATTCTGGAGTTATACTTATTTTGTAAATGTGCGGGAAGTTTTTCATCTGATATTTACTACTTTTGCTTTAAATAAAATGGAATGTAAGTTAATGGATCAGGAAAGCATTAGATAAAAGTTTTCTGTTATTCATAATTATCGGAAATTCGATGTAGTTCGAAGTAAATATAACCTTTTTTTCAGTTTCTTAGAGAGATTATATAAAGTACACATATAATATATGTTTAACATATTATTGTGTGTGAACTAATATATAAAGTAGTTGTCTTTTTAGTATATTGTTTCTTAATATTTTAGAAGTTGGACGATTGTGTCATTTATTTCCAAAGTGAACCCTAATTAATTTTCAAGAAAATTGCAATAAGAGTTAATTCCCATACAAAAACACTCAATGAATCCGATTATAAATTTTTTTTTTTTATATAAAGCGATCATAAATATATTAAAAAGTTGAGTGAAAATAAATATATTTCTAAAACATTTTTTTTTTTTTTTTAAGAATTCATTGAAACTTGCATTTCTTAAGAAAGTAATTCATCAAAACCTTTTTTTGACCGTTTTATTCAAATAAAAATGAAAAACTAACTTGATCATACCGCAATTGGAAAAGAAGATATAGTTGTTCGCGTTTATTGAAATATTTTCAATGCTGATTGGAGTTCATTTTTGAAATACATGACACAATTAATTGAATTATATATCATGCCTATTATAACTATTTAGATGAGATATAATTTAAAAAAATGTCAGGAAAATCTTCGGCATTATGAAAGATTCCGTGGGACATCCTGATGTACCTTGTATTTTACCATAGACAGAGAACATTTTTATCATTAGAGGTAAGCAGTGACAATGGAGGCCGCAATATTAGTTTATATTTTACTGTTACCTTTTTTATTAATATTTAAATAAACTCCATGATTTTTAAATTTGTGTAACCTATATAATTATATATTAATTAATTGTATCACTAGATTAACAAAGGCGTTTGGAGGCAGCAGGTTTCCCACTTGTGTATTATGCATTATAACTATTTTGTGATTTAATTAAATATTTTTCAAAGTATGCATAATTCATATTTTTTTCTCACCTTCTTTATATTAATATGCTTTAAGTGTCTACTTTGAATTTAATTGTCATAATGTACTGATATTTGCTATATTTGAATAATTAAAACTATTTTTTCTTTTCTATCTTTTTTCATTTACTCTCATAATGAATTTGTTTTTTAGACTTGGAGCAATTTGGTACATAAAGTTGGATTTGCTTGTGTGAACACGAAGTGCAAACTTGTGATCGAGCCTTTTATAGATTTTGCATATTTAAAAGATAATGATTCTCTCTGTCATTTGTATCCATTAGACTGCATTGTAGCTTTTCGAGATATCGTCAAAGAAAAAAAACTTTATAAGTTTTGCGTTACAAAAATTATGTCAGCTTTATTAACAGTTTTTGAAAGTGGCCGTTCAGATGATTTAAATGAGTACATCATTGAAATTTGGACTGCACTAATAGGTATATATGATTAGTTATTTTCCAATTATTTCTTTTTGGGTATATTTTTTTTTTATTTATGCAATTATTATTGGTAATATTTCCAGATAATACTAAAGACATAGAAAAAGCAAATGTGAATGATTACATTACAGAACTTATTAATAAGATTCCTCAGATTATACAGCTTGATAGACCTGGGTTGAACGATGCTATAATTAAAGTCACCCTTGAAAAGAAACTTTTCTGCTCAGAAAACATGAAGATGTTTATATTAGCTCAAGTACCAATCATGCCAATGTAAGTTGTATTAATTAGCATATACTTTTTTTTAAAATTTGGTATGTATAGATCTGTACCTCAGAATTATAGAACTGTTATTCTTTTTATTAATTTATAATTATTACTCATTTGTATTTAACTAGATGTAAATATGACTATTTTCCTGGCCAATTATAATGGAATGTATGAATTTTAAATGTAATTCTTTTAAAAGAATATCAACTTCAATTTAATTTAAAAGGAAACATTTATCCTCACAGTTCTGTCAATTTTGGGAAATATGACATAGTGTCCTTTATCTCTGAGAAACAGATATTCTTTTATTAAATTTTTATCACCTTTTCTTGTTAGATTTTCTTGAATTTTAACTACAAAAAAATAAATTGTTTTAAATTAGGAAAAGTGTCTTGGCCATTATCAAATATGTACGTACCAATTATTCTATATTAAAATAAAAATATATTAGTTATTTATTCATTTAAATATCGGTACTTCATATTTAAATTTAAATTATTGTATTAAGTTTATAAACTTCTTTACTTCAATTGGTTTGGTTATTGTAGAATGGATATATGTATTTACTTTTTTTTTTACCTTTAAATGCCATTTCTTTCTTTATTAAAATATTAATTAATGAAAGTATAGATTATTTTATTTTGCCTGTGTAAAAAGAGCGAATCTGCCTACATATTACACAGGCTCATGGAATTGATCTCGACCTTCCCATTCTGTTTAGAATAGATTACCTGTAGGATAACCCCTCCCTCTTTGGTAGTTGTCTATGTTAGTTAGCCATCTTATCTGCTTGTTTAACTGATAGTCAATCAGTAATACCTCTATGTTAACTGCTGAACTCGATACTACTTTAAAAGTGTTACTCTTTCAGCCTTCTTGGTTGATGCCAGTTTATCCACTATGTTCCGATAATGCTTACAACAAATAGCACCAGGATGAACCACTATTGCGGAGGTGTAGTCTTGTCGGCTCTTGTCCCCTCCACCTCACCTTCATTATAAATAAATATAGAAGTTATATAGTTTAGATTACATATTACCTGCTTTTTTTTTTTTTCTTTATTTAGAATTCTTTTCCTCCACCATTTTTACTTCATAGGAAATAAATATCGATTGAAATCTGTTTAATAGAAGAAGAGTGAAGTAACATATAATTGAACAGGATAATCCTCAGCCAGCATTAAAATCCTTATAGGAAATTGTCAACTGTTTAATTCTTCCTTAATTGTATTAATATTGGACATAGGTAATGTGTTAGGATTTCATTTATTATTTTTCTAGTATCACAGCGTTTTATAAATCTCTTAAAAATTTTTCACCATAGTCTTATTGAATAGTTTTTACTTTCCATTTGAATATCCAAATGAATATTAATCGAATTCCTAGCTTCCTTAAGTATTGTTATTCCAAGTTATTGTTGATACTAATCCGAAAAAGTTCAGAGCTTTGTGATTATTATTGGTGGGAAACAATAATTGAAATTGTTTTAATTTTCTTCTTAAAAATAATACAACTACAGATAAAATGTCACAATTAAAACAAAACTTAAGTTAATCAAGTTCTTTAATTTAAGATAACCAAACTGAAGAAAAGCATTAATAATGATAAATCTCAAATTTAAAAAAACAAAAACAGGCAATATATAATCATAAATAATATTAGAAATATATAATGAAAAAAAATTTTATTGAGATAATATGTGTCTTTAAATAACATCGAAAATAGATAGTTTGCTTAGTCGATATACTGAAGAGAAAAAAAAAGGCTCGTAATATATATTCTAAAGGTTGTATTTGGTAATTATTTGTAATTAATGTAAGGTGGAGGGGTTAAGGGCTGACAAGACTACCCCTCCGCAATACTGGGGGTGCCTGGTGCTATCTATTGTAAACTTTATCTGAAATATTGTGGATAACTTGGGATCAATCAAGATGGCTGAAAGAGTAGTGTTTCGTAACTAGTACCGTATATTTTTATTTATTTCCACTGTTAATGTCATTTAAAATTATTGATTTGATAATTTATTAATATGAAAGTGACATGTAACAAGCCTATAATGATGGCTTAGTGCATTTCTTTCTATAAAAAAGTGGGATAACCATGGAAGGAGAAACAGGAGAATAGAATTATGAATTTAAAATCTAACATTAATGAGTTTCTTGGTTGTTTAAATACATGATTACTTGTATGTGATTTATTAAGAATTAGACACCAAAATTATTAAAATAAAGTAGTGTCTTACGTTTTTTTTTTTTTTTTTTTTTTTTTTTTTTTTCACGAACAGGCCTTAAAGACCACGCGAATACCATGAAGTCAATGCTTCCTCTTCATCTGCCTCCTCTTCTCTCATATGCCCCTCATGAGCTCCGCATGCTTACGTTTTCTCTCCTCAGACCACGCAACACCCTTTTTGGAGCGCTTCTTGCCCGCAAGAACTGTTATTCTCTTTCTGTACTCATCTCTGTCTAAACAATCTTGGTCTCTTAGCCCCACTTGGTCCATATCATCCTTAATCTGTTTAAAATACCCGTTTACATTCTTATGACTGTGGATGCGCTGGAAGATTTTATGGTTAAGTCTTTCAGGATTCATCCTTATTATATGGCCATAGAACCTCAGCCTTCCCACTCTAACGTCAGTTTCTAGATCCGTTGTTTCTTTATATATTTCCTCATTTGACCTCAACCTGTATCCTTCAGGTGTTCTCCTAGACCCGTAGATTCTTCTGAGAATTCTTCTTTCTATTTTCAGAAGGCTTTCTAGGCTGGGAAGACAAGAAGTCTTACATTTATTTTAGATAAATATAGAAATCAAATAAAAAAAAAAAAAAGTTGCAATAGTTTATATTATTTTATTTTATTATATCCTTACGCCACCTTAACATAGTGTATTAATGAAATTAAAAGTTTGGAATTTAGTAGTCATTATCAATAGTTATTTTATTTGATCAATTTTTAAAAAATAATTAAAAATCCCACCATAAAGAATGAAATTATTGCTAAAATTCAGATATATTCTAATTTAAGCACCTTTTATTTAATTATAAAGGATAATAATAATGCTTGGCAACTTTTTTAATGTAAAAAAATATTTTTAGCATTTCAAGTTTCATGAGCCATTGTGATTTTCAAAAGAACTTTTTTTTGCCAATTGTGGATAATCTGTTGGAATACTTTTTGGAAGCTCAGAATAAGTAAGTTGGCTTTTATTATTTGTATTCAGAGTAAATATAACTATGAATATTTCTGTTCAGCACTTCATGTTTTTTAGAAAATCTCAAAGTTCCGTCGAACTGGAAATTTGGGATCTTATGTGTGAAGTATTCATTCTTTGGCTAAAAAGATTGCCGCTTCCTCAGGAATCATCCGCAATCGATGTGGAACTACTGTGCTCATTACTATTGGTTCCATTACTTTCTAAGCAAGTACGTCAGTAATTATTTATAATATTGAAACACATTGTAAACAATAATATAATAATTATGTCATTTCAGTGGTCAGTGCCTGTTCAAAAGACATGGAATTCTGTTTTAGAATATACTCAAATAATTGTGCCATCTAACAATTATTTATCACAATTTATTGATAAATTCTATAAAGAATTGAGTGAATCTCATATCAGTGCTGAATTCTCTGTGGAATTTTGTACTTTTTTAACAAACAAAGACAAGTCAGGTAAAATTTTAAATATAGTTTTCATTGAAAAAGAAAATATATTTTTAAAAAATTTCATTCAACTCTTTTTTTTCACAGTGTTTAAATCGTTGATGCCCACCTTCAATTTTATTTCTAAAAGTTTACCCAGCAAAGATCCTAAACCTCTGATGGACCTACTGGTTTTAATAGAAAACTCAATTAAGTATGTTCCGAAGCAAGAATTAATTAAGTTATTGACAGAGTTAATGAGTAACAGTAATTCATATGGACAGCCATATGATCTCCGAATTAAAACAAAGGTAAATAACTAAGTTCATTTTGTTCTTCGATTTAAGCATTTATTTTTTTTTTATGATATTTACAGATTTCTTTTGTAGTTTTAAACTTTTACGTCATAGTTTTTATATATTAAGAAGAACCAGAATATAAATCTTTAACTTTTAATTGGGCCATACCAGAAATCTTTATGAAATGAAAACTTCTTCAGAGAGGCTTTGCACTTTTTTTGTGGGTAGTTAATGAGACTGAGCCGTTACGCTTGGATATGTAACGCTCATTCGGGTTGTCGTCGGCTTCAATAAAAAAATTGAAGTTATTTTGTATTTGGATTAAAAAATTCTCTGAAACTAAAAATTAGACCTGCTTACTGTAAGCTAGAGAAATGTTCAACATTTCATCCTCTTTGTAATGAGCTATTATTCAAAGTTGTATCGTAACGTGACGTCGTGTTAGAGAAGCAAAAAAGAAAAAAAGATTGTGTCAAAAACCAAATAATAATGACTGGACATTTGTACTAAAATACCTCAAAATTTATGTGCCTTAGAGAATTCAGAAACCTATTTGCAGAAATCAATATAGATATTTTTTTTAAATAGCCATAAAAATAAGAAATTGTGTATTTGTATTCGAATTTTTGTTATATATTTAGCACATAGATTTCAATCACAAGTATTCATCACATATCTTAGTTATTATAAACCTATTGTATCATTTTTAGAGAATAATTCAAATGACATCAGTCCGAACAAATTTTACTACAGTAATTTATACACAACTATAATTGTATGTATTGTAATTGTTATTACTTTGTGGTTATAAAATAAAGAAAATTTATATTTCACATTATTAATCTCTCCTTATTGATGTTTTCTATTGTGTGGTGCACTGGCGGATCTATGGGAGAGCTTTCGGGATGAAGCCTTCCCCTCCCCCAAAAAAATGGGAAAATATAACCATGTTTTATGAAAAAAATATCTCTATAAATATTAAGTTTCGTCTAATTGCATTTAATAGGACTCAATTCACCTAAACACCATTTTATATAGATATTTAGTTTCTTTCTGTCTTCCGAAGTGATTATCGTAATATATACAATACAAAAAAGAATCCTTTGGGCTGAAGTTCCCCCCCTCAAAATTAAATTCTGGATCTGTTGGTGATGTGGTCTAAAGTATACAAGTACAAACATTTTTTTTTTTTTCCTATGCCTTTTATTTTTGTAAAATCAGCTATCCCTGAAAGAGTTTTATCTAAAATCACTTTCTGGTTAAATTAAGATTTTAATGTTTTAACAGATAATTTAATAGCGGTTCATTTGCATATTGGTCATAAAAAAATTAATCAAAAATTTGATCAGCAAATTTATTTGTGTTTCGAGAGAACTCTGTCCTCCTCAGTAATTAAAACAGACAGAGTTTCCTCAAAACGTACGAATAAATTTTGCAATCAAGTACTAATTTTTAATTAATTTATTCATGACCAATAGGCAAATATACCATTATAAAAAGAACAAAGGTCAAACAAGCATAATAAAGATAATTTAATATTTGTAGGTTAGTTAAAGTATTTCCAAGGATAGGTAAAGGAACTAAATCAATTTAAGGGCATTATATTTTCATAATTTATTTTGAATTGAAAAATAGGTGATATATGAATTTGAAACTCATTTAATCCTTTGGACTATTTTTATTTATGAAATTTTATCTTATCAATAAATCATATGTTAATTTGTTTCTATTACCACTAACTATGATTAATATTTTAATGAAGGTTAGTTTTTATTTAATAGGATATTTCTTTTTTAGATTACTAAACTTCAAAGGAAATTATTTACATTAAAAGATCCAAATGAAAGTAGTAGTAAGGAGCAGGATGGTCAGCAATCTAAGAGTCAAGAAAAGGAACAACAGAATGGTCAGAAAACCCGCTCTCCCTTAATGGCCCATAGCAATTTTCTGCATAGGTAGTTCTCAGCTATTTTTTATATAATAGGGCATTACTTATTTAATATAGACCAAAGAAATAATTTAAATTGAGTTTAAACAATTTATAAAACAAAACTGGTATTCATTTATTTTCCTTATGGCTAAACCTGAATCAGTTCTCTTTAACAAACTCTTAAAATGTTTAAAATGAATACTATATTTGCATTTTTATTGGTGGATTTTTTTTTCTAATGTTTCCTTCCATGAAATGGAGGGTGGAACTATATCGGATTCGATCTAGAAAAATTACAACCGTACATGGAGATCATTAGTTACTTTGTAGTTTATTTTTGTTCCTACTTACGTGGTGAGATACATTTATATTGTTAATAAATGATTACTTATTTCATCTATTATCCCTCATTTTGAGGAGATAAAATTGTAATAAAAAATATTTGTTACATACATACGTTCTAATCATAATGGTGTGTTAACACTGAAAGTTAATGAATACGAAGGTTGCTTATAATCGAAGCAGAAGTACAGCTGATGTAAATGGTGATTAAAAATATTTTTCTCTGTTCAGACTTCTTGGCTTCAGTGAAGTTTATGTGTATTTTATTATTATAATTATTAAACATTGTGAAGAAGCTCTACAAGTTGTATAAGATTTAGTCGACAGACTTTTTTATTGAGTTAAGAGAATTAACTTTTTGGGATTATTCTTTTATTAGTTTAATAATTTCTCAAGTTTTTTTCCATACCTTATACATGTCAGATTTAGAATTACAGAAATACCATCATTATGTTATAGACATATTACTTTTATGTATTTATATTCATCTATGTTTGCTCTTTGATTTTGAAAAAAAGAAAGAAATGTTTGATCAATTTCATTAATATTATACAATCTTATTTTAAAAATAATTATTATGATTTTTCATTGCTATATTTTATTTTTTCTAGGCTTGCCAAAGCCGAGGAGAAAAAAGTAAAAAAGAGAGCCAGCATGTCTTCCATTTTCGGAGACATCCATCAAAATGAAGAAGTAGAGACTTCCAGTCCTGAAAGAAGTGGTGAGCATAAATCTCCAAAGCTGTTAACACCAAAGCCATCTCCTCTCAATCATGCACCAATTGATGGGAAAGATAGCAAAAATGATGTAAATAAACCAGAAGTAAAAGAAGTTGAAGAAAAGAAGTTACCTATTAAACAGACGCCTGTTACTGACAAAGATACTAAAAATGATCCTAATAAAGAAGAAGTTAAAGTAAAAGAAAGTGAAGAAAAAAAGTTACCATTAAATGGCAGAAGCAGCCCTGCCATCCCTGCGGTGGTGACTGTTGTTACCACTCCGAATAGGAAAAGACCAATTAAGCAGCCTGAAATAGTGCTTTCTCAAGAGTCAAAGAAATCAATTCCTAAACCAACTCCTCCGCCTCCATCATATTTCGATGATGAAGCAATGGTATGAAAATTTTATAATTTTACAGTTTATAATTTTATAGATTTTATTCTTATGTTTTCATATTTTATCTGAAACATATAATATATTTCGAAGTGCTGTTCTTAATATCGCAAAAGTGGGAGAGTACTATTATTAACAATCATGTTCATACCAATGACAGGGATGCATTTACTACAGAATGTTTAAGTTAGGTTATACTTCTTAAGGAGAGTTTCATTGGACTTATTAGTGGTTATTAAAATTATTACATCTTTAATAAGAATAATTTCTCAAAAGATGAACAAATCCCTTAAGGGTCCTTTTCTTACTGAGTGTCCTATCAGTAATAATGGAACCCTTTTCAGTTTATCATAAATTACTTCACCTCATACAGATCGATATCACTAGGACTCCTGTGTGGTCAGGCCCTAACTTCAACTGGAAAAGATCTATTAGGGGTCTCTCCTGAGAGAGGGTAAGTCCAACAGTACTGATCTAATTAAAGCAATAATTTTAATAACCACTAATAATGCCAATAAATAGGATTGTCATTGAATTGCAGAAACATGATAAACATCTACTTTTAATACCTAATGATTCTCGGAATTACATCTACAGTGTGATAAAGGTGACCTTGTGCGCAATACTCTCGTATTGGAGTAAAACTTTGCATCAAGTGTCCTTTATTTATATTTTAAATACTTAGTTTTGGAGCTTTTTATTAGAAGATTGATTAATCTTTGTCAATAACGTATGATAGGGAAAGTACAGTAATAAGCTCAATAATTTTTCTGAACTGCTGGACCCAAATTAATGATTTTTTTTTTTTTATGGTGACAGGTATTTTAAAAGATTAAAGGAAAATAGTTTACATAAAAATTTAGAAAGATAATGTTCTTATTGAACTTTTTTTTACAGAAAATATTAGTTTAACCAAGATTGAATATCTTGTTAGAACGAAAAATAAAGAAATTTAACAATGAAAAATTGCGAGGTAGTTGAAAAAACATGTACAACCTATATTTATACATTCAAATTGAATGGGTCTTTCACGATTTTTCTGATATAAACATTGATTTTGTTGCTGAAATCAATTTAATCATGATTGTACATTGCTTTTTTTAGTCATTATAGACAGAATAATGGTGCTCTACCATTTCAATTGATAACTCTTCTAAATTTTATAATGTGTTTGAATTTACACCCAATGGCTGCAATTATATTTTATAATTAAAAATAATTTTTATTGCTACTGAGTTATTTTAATGGTTTTTTTACTGTTTTTATTTCTAGGCCTCAATAATATCCTTCTATTTTACTTTACTTTTAATATCTTCCACCATTATCCTTTGTGTTGTTTATAGTTCACTTTTGTTACTTAGTTGTTACTTTACGGTAACAACTAAATTATTTCAGCCGGAAATGCTAAAACTTCCAGTTATAGCTTTTTATCCTATATACTTTATTATCCGAAATATGTTAATGCCATTTCTTCAATTTAGATGACATTTTCTTGACTTTAAATATTTATACAAAATCACTGAAAGCCCATTCAACTAGCAATAGCCATTTCATGATTGTTTCAAGTCATCTGCCATCTAATAACAAGCGGCAGTACTTGGTTTCATCAGTTTTATATGTAATAATTTATTACTTTATGATTTAGGATTATGTAATTGTTCCTCCAAAACCAAAAAGTACACCACTAACAGAGCATCAGAAGGAAATGATGTCAAAGAGGAGATCTGATATTCCTGCTTTATACCAAGATTTGTCTCAAGATACCCAATCAATGAATAGGCAAGTTTGATTTGTAGTAGTTAACTATTTTGAATTTTTTTTATCATAAATTAATATAATAAATCCTTGCTTTTGGTTTAGTATGGTAAAAATAATAACCAATTGATACTAAAGCATGGAGGAAAAGAGATATCTAATTATACTTTCTGGATTAGTTCTGAACACGCCAGGAAAATGCACTTCTCTTAAAATTTTGAAAATTATACTAAAAATTTTACTCTCCTAAAGCTCATCTCTAACTTTCTAAATATAATTCTTATTTTATTCATAAATTCTTAATCCTCAAATCAAGTGAGATAGATGTAGAATGAAAAATCCAATATACACAGTCTTGAGATCTTATCACTATAAAAAAATCTGGTGTGTCCACTCACACGTCTTTCCTACCTATTTCAAAAAAGTTTTTATATCTTTACGTATGTCCATAAAGAAACAAAAAAAATTTAATTAGATTTATTTTCCTGAAAATTGATCAAAGAAAACATTTGAGTACGATTTATTTGATAAACTAAAGCAATGTAAACCGGCTTAAGGTAGATAGGTAGAAGTGTCAAAATTTCAATACCCTCTAATATTGCTGATCAAAAACTTTTTGCCATAGCCTAATTTTGTCAAACAATAATTTCTGTTAAAAGTAGTGAAGCTTGTGTGGTGCGGGCAACAGATTTCCTTACTTTCATTTAGTTATCTTTTTCTCTCATTCATCCCTTTCTGACACCAGGATATATACACGTAATCTTATGTTGGAAATTGAATAGCTGTATCATTGTTAATACTGGTTCGATTTCAATGATTTTTTTTTGTTTTGTTGGTAATTTAATTACTTTTCAAGTTTTATTATAAATTTTACCATAAAATGTATGCTTAGCGAGTTAGGCCCAAAAACATTTTTTTTTTCTTGATTTTTTTCGGGAATTCAGTTATGTACAAAAATTGAAAGGACAATTATTAGAACATTATAAGGAAGTTTCATCAAAATTGTTAGAGCTATTTTCGTGTTACAGTCTATAGCTATAGAAAAACATGTTTTTCATTTATTGCGCATGGAGCATCCAATTTGTGTCACAGGCATCAGTAGTCAAAACTCTACAAAATAAAAAAAGAAGCAACAAAATTCGTTGACTAGTTCCCTGAGAAAATCTTGACACAGACTGACAGACCAATGGTTAAATATGTGTTTTTCTGACTCGGTGAGAGGGGGGAGGGGAGGGTACAATTACAATAGGATGAGCAGTTTTGAGCACAACCAGTTAATCTTGATCTATGACATCTTCGTAAAACACTTGAAAAACATTATTTAGTTAGAACAATACATCATTGTCTTGAGCCTCAAATAACAATGGAATGAAAAATCTACAATTTTATATTTTGCACTTGAACTGCTTTTGCTTTGTGGCTGTCGATATGTTAGAGGATTATTGGTTTGAACGAGTGCAATTTGGAGATAGATTTTTTTAAATTATTAGGTTGACAACTAGTCAGGATTCGCAAGTTAAAAAAATTATAAGAAAAGAAAACATAACCAGACCGAAAATCCTGATTATTTATTATCGTTGTTTTAATTAGTTTTGTTTATTTTTGTTTTACTATTAATCATTTTTCAAAATAAAAAACTTAATTAAAAGAAAACAAATATTTTTGGTGGATTTATAATGCAACCATATTTAAATTTCTACTATTTTTTAAACATATTTATTATTATTATCATATTATATTAAAATATTTAAAAATGTTATGTTTAACACAAGGTGCTGTATAATCTAGATCCTGAAAATCAAAGTTTTATGTACAATTTCGTGATTAAGAATTCAATAAAAAAACTTTGTAAATGGGTATTTAAAGATTGTAAACAAGACTTACATAAGTTGTGCACCTGACACTTTTTTCATTTTACCAGAACCATTTAGATGCATTTATATGTGCCTGTGGTCGATAATGTGGTTGTTTCTTTAATAATAATTTTAATTTTCTATGGTGATGGACAGTTGGTTCTAGAATTTCTCATATATCTGCTGCTTTTCTACGATGTTTGAGGATTAAAAAAAAAAAGTGAGAAAATAATTTAGAATTAGACTTCAGTTGAAGTCTTAGACCAGCCAAAATTAAATCAGAATTCACTGAAGGTGAATACATATGAAAAGATATGGTGCGGTGCATTCAGCACACAACTTTCACTTACTTTAGAGCAGATAGGTATTTTCTTATATAGAGAAGACAAAATGAAAACTACAGTATTACTTTATTTAAAACAATTAATTACCATTTTTACTGCCCATCATATCTGTTAAATTTATACGTTTCCATCACTTTCCATTTCATTTTACAACTATTTATAGTACCAAACAATAATAATGATTGTGAGGAAAAATTCCTAGTTTTATCGGAACAATTTATCACGAAAATCATCAAAAGAATAACTTAACATTAGTATATATTGTATATTAGTAGATTATCAACATTTTGCATGAAAATCTTTTTAGAAAGTTATGAATAAGTGATTTATAAAGTATGAAATCAACTGTAAGAAAGTCCTGTTCAGAGAGGTATCTGGTATCTGTATAGAGAGGGAATCGGAAAAGGTCAGGTGCTCTCGGCTGTTTCCTTATAGCTTCCAATCCTTATTCGTCTATTTGTTACCAATCAATTTTCTTCATTAATTATATTTAACCATTTTTTATATCAGTTTTCAATGTGAAATGGTTAGTTATTTCAGATAAAATAAAGGTACTTTAGAGAGAGAAATTTTAAAAATTTGGCATTTAAACCCTTTTAGAGAACATCATTGAGAATAAGACTTTTATTATGTCAAAAACCACTTAATTTTACATTATGATAATGAATTTAATCAAAATCATTAGAGACTTTTTTGAGAAAATTGTAATAATGTGTATAATCGATGGTATAAAGTGGCACTTCTTGTTAGCCGATTTTGTCGAAAAAGTTGCTGTCACATCGCAGGCATATACAATCCTTAAACTTTTTGTTTTTGAGCTAGGCTATTCACATACATACCCACTCACATACCATTTTGCATGAATTGGTTAGTAATTTGGATTCAGGAGACCTCTAAACATGTATTTCTGTTGAAAACTCATATTCGAAAATGTATATATTATATATATTACATATATAGTTAAGTGAAAGTAAACATTTAAAAAAACAAACAATCAATTTAATACAAATAAAAAAGTACTAGTAACTATATACTGGTGAGAACAATACATTAGATAGCAATTCTCTCTAATGTATCCAATGCATAAGCAAGGTACTTTTTGTCTAAGCGGCCGTTTTGAAACCTCACTTCTTATCTATGTTATCTAACATCATGTCACATAACCTCCCTCTTCTTAACCCGCCAAACTTTTGAGTTATTGCATTGTTTAGTTTTCAGTTATTCCCATATTACGTTCACTTATTAAATTGTTTACTTTTGGCCCGTTTGTGTTTATTTTACTTTTTTTTTTAGTTTGTGACCCCTTGGTGTTTATTTTTCATTTTTTTTATTTTTCGTTTATTTTCGTCATATTATGGATCTTCTTAGAATATGGGATTTACCGTCTTCAGAAGAACAGGCAATTCAGTATTTTCAAAATGTTGGGGTACTTGCTGGCTTATCATTGGTGGAGTTTGCCGAGAAACAGATGAATGTTTTATCGTCAAAATAATTGACAGAAAGACAACAACATTATTACAAGCCATTAAAGAAAATATAGAAGAGGGAACAACCATTTATTCGGACTGTTGGAAAGGATACAACACCCGACAACTGAACGAAGCAAACTATGACCATTTCCAAGTGAATCACCGGTATAATTTTGTCGACCCATCAACTGGGGTTCATACTCAACACATAGAACGATTGTGGGGCTCAGCGAAGTGGAGAAATAAAGTACATAGAGGAACTGCCAGACAACACCTCGATTCATATTTGTGCAAATTTTTGTGGCAGCGGGTTCACAGAGAAGAGAACCCGTTCCTCGCTATTTTAAGTAGCATAAAACAATTTTGCCTTCCAAAATAAATAAGACAAAAGGAAGTGAATAATTAACTTAAAATAATTTGTATATACGTTGTTTATAGTGTTGATATTTTTTCTTTTCTAAGTAAATATGTTCTTTTAAATTTGTTTTTTTATTATTTCATTAATATATTTGTCGTCAAATAAAAGTATTTTTGTTGTTATTACATTTGTTTTTGTATCTGTTTACACTTTCAATAATACGAATTTAATACAATAATATGAAGATGTGAAGTAGGAGAAGGCTTATCACTGCGTTATGGGAGCTATCAGTGTTCAGGTTATAAACATTGGCAGATAGCAGTCAGTAGCGGCCACTTAGACAAAAAGTACCATAAGCAACTTAAGTGAAACATGTTTATTATACAATATAATATTAGCAAGTTAGACTGTTGAACACAGACAATTACTGAAGCTTCATATTGTACCGTGGCTGTTAAAATAACGATTTACTCAATGAGTGAATAACTTGTCCTACCGGAGCTACCCCTCGACTTATACTTGTCCATTATTACTCACTCAATACCTATTTGTTTTGGTGCCGGTAGTTTCTATAGCTGGCCTTCATATATTCATCTAAATCTTCTAAATAAAACTTATCATCATTCCTTTTTAAGACGTTTCTAGATTTATTTATACGCCTTTTAATTAAAATTTTGAAAGTTAACATTAAAATCGATACTTTTAAAAAAAACTATTAAGACATTTGATTTAGTCTAAACCACGAATAAATAAACATTTGTTTGAATGATTATGTATAATATTAATTTTTTTTTTAATCTGTTCTTCATAATTGCAAAGTAAATAAGGTATTTATAATTAAAATCAATTGAATTCAACTTTATATAGTGATGATGAAATAGGCCATCTTGTTGTTGGCAGCGCTGCTCTGTTGGAACAAACAGCTTGATATACAAACAGCCATTATTTCTGCTGAGTAATCAAAAGATAACATAAGTTTAGCTGTGAAGAAATCACTCACATATATAAGCTAATTATATTTATTTAGAATAATACGCAGGAGGTAGGGAATCAGTCTTAAGCTCTTGAAGTGTTTAACCAGTTTTTAACTCTTGACTTACAAAATGGAAGGCAAATGTGTTGACATTTCAGTGTATGATTTCTGTGAAGAGCCAGAGAAATCTGTGCAAACCAAATAGTAAGTAATGAAAAATATTTTGTTCTCGTTCCTACTGTGATGTTGAAAATATTGATATATCTTTCCTCAAGAATGTCTTATGGAATAATCTTGTTTCACCATTCAGGGATTACTTATCAGTAACTTCTCAAATATTCATTTATCTATCTGTTGTCCCAATCGTCTGAAAGCGTATTGTGATTAATTCATCTAATGTTTTTTGACTAGATTGTACGTTTCAGAATCTAATAAAATGTTTGATACAATGTGCATCTTTTTCTAGTTGCCAATTTTTTATTTTTCACTTGTCTAGAACTTTAGAATTTTGTTTTGCTCCAATTTTTTTTTCATGTTTTCAATTGGGTATTTACATAAATTTTTAATTTTAATTGATTAGGTTATAACAATATAACTTTTATAAATGCATGTTTATAAAGTTAGGGCTAAGGATGTTAAATAGCATTGTGTATGCTAGTAGTCTATATCACGCCACACCTCCAGTATCCACCAAACCTTCCAGATGGACTGTTATTCCATTTTATTTATTTAAAATACTTATTAATGTTCTAGGGAACATCTTACTCATTCTGTATTTCATTATAGATGTACATCTTTATTTTTTATTAAATTCTACAATATTTTTTTAAAGACCTACTAGCCTGAGCTAATCACACTTTATCTTGTTACCAGAGTAAAGAGAGATTCGATATTAACATGGCATCCTGTGAAATTTGAATACTTATTTTATTTTAACTTATATTACTTTAACACTGGAATGTATTGGGTATTTTTATAATGGCGGGTAGCGTCCGACTCCAATCTGCCAATGTTTATAAAATTAACACTAATAACTCTGATAATATCTTTGTATTCATATTTATTGTATTATATTCATATTATTATATCTTTGTATTTATTATTGAAATTGTGAACAAAAACAAATGTAATAATCCCGTCAAACTTCATTTGATGACCTTCATCACGATATCTCACCTTTGCAAATATCCGGGCATCATGAAAATATTTAATAGCCTCTTCTTCTGAAGACGTCAATTCCCACAATGTGACAACATCCATAATTAATTAAGACTAACTCGGAGCTTACACAAGGAACAAAAAATAAACAAGGGAATAACTTTGGTTAGAGGAGATAAGGGAGGTTTTGTGAAATAAGATTAGATAACATGGGAGGTTTTGATGCTATCCTCTATTATATAAGTACCTTGTATTGTAGGTCTACTTTATGTGATTCTTTTTTCATGCAATTGTCTAATTCAAGTAAAAATTTTAACAGAAATACTTTTATTGTTTTACATTGTCTAATGTAAGCGTTGTTCGATTTGTTTGTTTATATAATAAACCAATTGCTTCAATATTGTTATCTACACTGATATCACTGAAGACGACAGCATCTGTATTCTGTTCTTAGTGCTAAACCTTAGTTATGGATTATTTGAAATGGGTAAGTATAGGTCCTTCAGGCGATTAGTTTCACAACTGACTCAATCCATTTTTAAAAATTTTACTGGAGACTCAACAACAGAACAAAAACATTTGATTGTGTCCAATTAAACTAATGTATTCCATGAGTTTGAACTCATTCTTATTATAGATTGAGACACTTTTAATACAGCTTCGCTAGGTTATGTAGCATGTTGAAAACTTGTAAAAATAAAATAAAAATATTTTATGAAATAAGTGGATTTGTTTGGCAAGAATTGCTTCTCAAAGTAGAGCAGTAAGTGAAAGTTGTGTATTGCGCGCACCAGATTTTTCAAATTAGAAATTAGGAAAAACTTCTAACCCATTTTTATTTTATATCTTTAGTTTTAATTTTTTGAAGGTCGAGTACATACCATTTCATAAAGCACATAGAGGCCTAAATCCCTATTAAATTTTCTAGTGGATCAGTGGAGCCGTTCTAAAGCTAAGACGAAGTTTTGTAGTTGTTGACAAAATTTCGAAGGGTCTAAATCTCTATCAATTAATAGACAAAAATGTCCAGGCAAAAATTATGAGCAGAAAATTTTAATTTTTCGATTGCCCTAAAAATTTGTATTTAAGGGTTTTTTGAACTGTGAAAAAAAGATATCAACTTTGTTTCTCCTGGCCCACGAAAGTTTTTTGATTATATGGTAAAATTTTCAAAATATGAAAATTAGCAAATTACTCACACACGAGTTTATTACTACATTTTTGGCATGTTTGAGTTTTATTTTAGAAAGCTCATTTCACATCTGAAGTGTCATTTACAGAGATATGTTTTATTTAATGGGCTTGCGGTACTTGGGTGGACAACTGAATGCGACCCGCAGAACATAGTCAAGGTCGGAATGTGGCCTGCGGACCAATAAGTTTGGGGACCCCTTTAGACCATTGGTGGGAAACCTTTTCATCAGTAGAAGCCACAGTTAGGTTAGGAAGCGCTAATGGAGGCCGCAATAATAGTTTATATTTTACTGTTGCTATTTTCATCAATGAGTAAATATACACCTATATACATATATTCAACTTAATTCTATTGATTTTAAAATTTTTGTAACCTAAATAATTAAATATTAATTCATTCTAACACTAGATTAATAACTGGACAGTTTCAAAGTGTATTCTAATTCAATTTGTTTATCCTACATAAGTGTAAATTTAAAGCCAATTTTTAAAGAATTTAATTTCCATAAAATTTAATGAACAAAAGTTGCATTGTTGAGATATTAGTTGTGAAGTGATATTGATACTATCTCTTAATGGAGACTGTATTACTGATGTGATTAAAGATACTAATTGTCCAGCTTGATTTACTTATACTTTCCACCTCTAACTGAACAATGAATAGATATTTACGCTAGATTTGAGGATTAAGAACCAAGTTATGGAAATCAGGCAGTTAATAAAGCATTAAACTTATATTACTGCTGTGCAGATACCTCTATTAGTGCCTGCTTCCTTTGATCTGCCATGTGCTGTTGTGATAAAATTTATTCTTATTATAATATGTTGTTAAAATTATATTCATTAATTTAATTTATTTGGTTATATTTTTTCAGCCAAAGCATCAAAGAAATCATCACATTGAAAGAAATTAAATTAAATGATACGGCTAAGTCATCAGATGTAATAACTTCCAAAGATGATGAAACTAATAACACCTCTATGAAGACTGATGAAGAAAATAATAAGAAAGAACAAACTGAAAAAGTATCGATTGACAATGGTGTTGTAGATAAAATTGGCGATGATTCTCAAGAAATAATTAATGTCACCCAGCCAACATTTGATTCGGGTGTTAACCTCTCCCTTACCCCAACCAAGCACATAGCTGCACTCCCAACTCAGAAGAATCTTCTCAATAAATTTAATTTACTTGAAAGTGATGAAAACGGAGATGTTAAAAAGATTGATGAAGAAGATGAAGTCGAGAAGGAAAATAAAATAGTTAACATTGAGGAAGCTGCTTTGCAAAAAGTCACTCCTATTAAAAGAAGATCCTTGAGAAAAAGTACAAACAAGTATTTTACTAAAAAAGCTGAAGAAACTTCTAAAACCAAAACAAAAAAAGAAATTTCAGAATCAACAGTTAATTCAGAGTTAATGTCTAAAGGTAAACCAAAAAAGATTTCAGAAACAGTTGCAAAAAATGTGGATAATGCTTCTTCACTGAAATTAAAAAACTCTGATTCACAAGATAGTTTAAAAGAATCAGAAAAGAACGAAAGTTCAGAATCAGAGAGAAAATGTACGGATACAGTTGAGGAATGTTTGTCAAAAAGCTCTCAAGAAATTACAGAAGAAACAAAAACATCTAGTAATCTGTCTGAGACTGAAAAAACTGATATTGAACAAAATGTGATCGAACAAGTTGATAATTCTTCCAATAAGATCGATAATGAACTTTCTGAAATTGCAGTGCCTTTAAACAATACCATTGATGATGATAAATTAGATAATATTTCCAGTAAAAGTGAAACATGTGAAATGATGGTTCCTTCTAAAAATGATGGTACGGATTTGCCTGCACAAGCTGTTTCTGTAATGTCTGCTTCTGAGAGTATTAATCTGAAAGAAATAAATGAATCTTCACTTGAGGAAAATTCTGAAAGTAAAACAAAAAATATTGATGTTAGTAATATTGATAATTCAAAAGAAACAGGCAGTGCTTCTATTAAAATAGATACTTCTCAGGAATCGATGGATATTTCTGAAGAGGAATGTCCAATTTCAAATGAAACAAAAAATATGATATCAGAAGAAGTATTAAAAACCGATGTAAATTCTGAAAGGGGCTGTTCACAAATTAAGTGTGATCCTGAAACTGAAATAAAATTGAATGAATCAGAAAATGTGAGAAGTGATGTTGGCAACGAAGGATCATCAACTGTAGAACAATCTAAGGACAGTTTAAATAATTGTGAAACTTCTAATGTTTTAAGTCCCTCCAATGACAATGATGTGATGATTGTTGATGAATGCAAAACAGACAATATTGAAAATTTGAATATCAGCAATGAAAATAATGTTGATATCGAAATAAAAGTAGAAGAGCCGGAGGATATTGATCATAATTCTAGTGGAGACTCTGTTGCTGCAAGCTGGTCAATGGTTACTCCTGAGAAAAAGAGTAGAAAAAGGAAAGTAACAGAAGTAACCAATGCTGAGAAATTTAGCCCTAAGTTGCTCAGGAGCAAAAGGCTATCTTTGACAAAACTTACTCCTGATAATTGTTCAGAAAAAAACAAAAAGAACGGTTCCGTTTCAAAGGTTGCTATGAAAGGTAATAAGGCAAGTGAAGCTGACACAATTGTAGTTAAGAAAACGGGTGAAGATAAGAGAAAGGTTAAAAGATCATCTTCAATAGAAATAATTAATACTGTTGAAACTAATGCTCAAAATAGTTCCATTAAACCTAATACTCCAGATAATATGGATTCTAAGACTTCATCTCCTGAATCTGAAGTATCCAGTGAGAGGAAGGCTAGTAAAAGGAAGAATCCCGAGCAAGTTGTAACTCCACCATCCAAACCTAAGAGGGCTAAAACTGACTCAGAAGAAGCAAACCAAGATTCATTATCACTTTTGAAGAACAGTACTGTTAAACCTCGAAAGAAAAAAATTATTAAATCTAATATAAAGGCTTCGCCTAATAATCTGGAGCAATGGTTGATTAAATCAGGAAAATCTGTTGTAAAAAAAACTCTACTATCTTCTAATGATCAAAATAATCTTCAGTCTGAATCTAAAATTGTTAACAATAATTCTGAAGTTCAAATTAGTTCTTCTGAACCGAAGAAGATTATTGTCGAAATGTCTCCTGTTCCTAAAGGTATTGATAACTCACCTAAAACTTCTGAAGAAAATGCTACAGAAATGCAACCTATTGACGTAATTACTATAAAAGAAGAGGAGGATCTCATAGAAATTGATGTTGTAACTGTTGACGAGGCAGATCCTGCAAATCTGAGCATCTGTGAAGGTATATGCACCCCAATAGTTGAGCCTGAAGTGTCCAAGTCGGTGGCTATTGATCCTGTCGACGACATAGAAACTATAGAAAGGCAATTTTTAGAAGCAATCAAGAGAAGAGCCAAGGAAGAAGAGGAACAAAATAGTCAGAAAAGTAAGAAAGATAATCTCTCAAAACCCAAACCTAAAAGGCGATCTGAGGATGAAGATGATGATGAGGAAGAATTATTAACTGAAAGTCTGAAATGTGATGAAACTGAACTTGAAAGGACCTCGCTCGAACTCGATAGAAATAGCAATGCTTCTCGAGTAAAACTTGAGTCCATGATATATGCCAAATACAAAACTACTCTTAGGCGACCTCACAGAAGGAAGAGGCTATTGAGAAGAGTTAAAAAATCAGATGACGAGAATGAGCTAGATGAAGAAGTTGAAGAGGAAGAAGAGACGTTTGAAGAGAGAAGGGAGAGGTTGGTAACACCGTTTCGACCTAGTGGCGGGAGGTCAGCTCAGATGGTGAAAATGGTGACTTCCGAAGAAGAAGGCCCTCCTGTCACTCCAGTTAGAAGGAAAAGTATCACACCGCTACAGCTGACCGAGAAGTGAGTTCAGATCCTTTTTTATTATATCATACAGTTACATTGATGTTTTTTTTAAAAAGACACGAGCCAAAAATTATAGGTTCCAATTCATTATGTGCTTTTAAATGAATCAATATCAAAATATGTTTTAAAAAAATTTCAATCTAGATAAACAAATTATTTTGATTACAATTTTTTTATTTTTTAACTTTTCATTTATTACAGTAAAAATGTTTGTGAAGTGTCAATCAAAATTTCCATTTTTAAGACATCTGTAATCTATTTCTAAATATGAGAAGGAGTTGATCGGGGGGTACGGTAAAATAAATGCTAAATTTTATAAAATAGTATTTTTAATTTATCTACATCATTATGAATTCATTACCACGGGGTCAACAACAATATACAAACCTACAGGCATAAAATACTATTTTATAAAATTTAGTATTTATTTGACCACACTCCCCCATCAACTCCTTCTGATATTATATCATGGCCAACCATCTCTACATCATTATTTCTAAATATGTTAAAAATTAGCTATCATCTTTCATAAAATTGAACATTACTTAATTATAAAAAAATAAAAAAGATGTAGAAGCAGGTTTTTAAATTTTCAGAATAATATTATTCAGTTTATAAATTTTAAAATAACATTTGATTCAGCTGGCCCGAGGGAAGGTGTGAGCAGTGGGTGCCGTGTGTGCCAACCCCTCCTGGAAAAAGTCCCTCTCTTAGCATCCTTAAAAGGAAGATATCGCCTGTTCCATCCCCTACTTCTTCACCAAATAATAAGGTATTTTCAAAACATTTGTGAATTTAATTAAATATTTAATGTTTCAATAGGGGGAGGGGATGAATGATTAATAAAATCTCTTAATAACTATTATAAAAAAAAAATATTAATATAAAATTTCTTAATAATAATCAATTAATACACTAGAGAATTGGCAAAAGTAATATTGATTACGTATACAGTGTATATCATTTCTTTAGTTCACTTTTTTATGCATGTTTTTGAATTGTTGATTTTTAAATTTTAATTGTTTGAATAAATATAATTTTTTTTTTTTTTTTATAGGAAAGAATAAATTTAATAAACTTTTGTACATTTGTGTTTAGACAGGGTTTGGTGGAGGATGGTTTTATGACCAAAAAAAGTATAAAGTAAAAATATAATAAAACAATTTTTAATAAATATAATTTTCCACAAGAATTTTTATTTGTTGGGCGCCTGGCTTACCAGCCTTTCATCTCTAAAGAAATAAATCTAGAAATCATAAAGTACTTACCCTTTAATGACCATCATTAAATATTTACTCTACCATGCTAGCTCAGGTGAGAAGGGGTTAGGTTGGATATTTTTATAAAGCAGCAAAAAGGTTACAGATCTATTTACAGAAAGAAATATTTACAGAATTATTACTATGTACAATAAAAAGAAATAAAATACAAGGAAAAAGAGGGAATTCAAACATAATTACTATATACAATTAAAGATAAAAAGGAAGATATTTAAGATAATACAAATAACAACAAAAAGATACTTATTCTATATACAACAGTATGGCATGCCACATCTAAACATCTAGAAAAGATGGTCAAGATACAAGAGATATAAGATGTAAGAGCACATGCACATGCTAAAATATGAATTAGTAATCTGCTCAGGAAACAAAAGAGAGTAGTGTTTGTTTTGTTTCCAGTGCTTTCTTAATCTTGGTTACAGTTTATAGGTGTAATTTCCTTGTTTTGACCTCATTTAAAATTAATTGTAATTAATTTAAGCAGTCTTCATACTTAAAGATTTTATTCCTTTGAAAGTGGCTCAAGTCTAATTCTGCTGGACATAAATGTATCCATTAAAAATATAATGGATTCATTGAAGACGTACTATTTATTTCGTTTAACAGTTTCGCGTCAATAATTATTTTTTGAAATGTTCTGATTGAATTTTTACTTTCGCTTACGCATGTATGTAATATATAGTAAGGAAAAGTATTGCGATCGTGAAAATTTTCGAATCTGAGTTTTCAATGGAAATACACGTTTTGAGATACCCTGAGCCCAAATAACCAAGTTAAATTAGTGAATAATATGATGAATTTTCCCTTTGTGATATCCCAATATTATCATGTCTTTCTCTAAAGTACCTTTAATTTGGTTTATTATAAATAATAACTATTTCTCATTGTTAAATAATAATAATAAATTCACCGTTCACAGTCCAAACCCAGTCCCTTCACATCGGCTTTAATGCAATCTTCCCACCTTCGCTTTGGTCTACCGCTCAGAAGTTTACAATTCGGTACAGCAAATATTAATCTTTAAGGAATTCTCTTGTTACTAAACTCAACAATTTTACAAGTTAATATGATTCGCCGTGATGAAATCATCTCAATTATATTACCCGGATACAGTTCACGCAATTCGGTGTTGTGTAACTGTCTGAACTCTCCGGTTATCTCATTCATCATTCATTTAGGAGTTATGAAAAATGCTATTTATAACTTATGATATAATTTCATATTTGAATAAAGGAGATAAAAAGAAAAATACTTATCCAGGTCGAAAATGAATATTTGGAATTAATAGTCAGAAGGTATACATATAATATATCGTTGGAAAGCAGAGAAAGAAGAAAAAAAAACTAATGTATTAAGTTGTAGAAGGTAACGGAGAGTGGCGAATAAAATATAAATAATAATTTCTATAAACTAACATTATTTAACGTAAATCATGTGTTTTCAAGGAAATGAAATTTTCTTACTAAATGTAAAATTTTAATATTTTTTTTTAAGTTTGCAAAAGTATTTAAAACCCACGGATTTAAGGCAATGACATTGTTTAAGATACTATTTTCTTGTACTAGTGTGAAAGAAAAAGTGAAAAATAAAAATATTTCATGGATACATTTATAACATTAAATATATTTACTGTAGTTTAATAACTCTAGATCTGATATTATATTCAAATAATTAGGTATCTTATCATCTGTTTATTCCAAAAAATCATTATGTAACTTTTTAGAAAATTAAATTAGTATATAATTTGATAAATTTTCCCTTTGCAATATTCCAACAGAATCCATTTACAATTAGTGTGACAACTTTTGATCTATCTATGACAGACAATGCAAATCTCTTAATTCCGTTTTAATAACCTTTGCAAAGGAAAATAACAGTTTAATAACTAATAGTCGTACAATCCATAATCAACGAATCGTACAATCCATAATCAACATACAATATATAATCAGTGATATAGTAAATAGAACTTTCGTTATTTTAATAGTATTTATGATTTTTTAAGTTATAATCTTTTAGTTTTAGCTCAGTTAAAAATGCAATTCAAAAATTTTATAATAACCCAACATGGACAGAAAATAATTTCTATTCAAAGTTGAGTGGCAAGTGAAAGTTGGGTGTTGTGCTCACCAGATTTTTTTCACTTAAAATGGGGACAGCCTGTATTATTTTTACATTATCTGCTGTTTACTTTCTCTTTTTCAATATCACTGTCTTTCTTATCTCTGATTTTGTAATTGATATTGTATTGATATTAAAAAAATTTAATAATTTGAAACAATTCATTTTCTATGAGAAGGAGTTGGTCTGGGGGTGTGGTCAAATAAATACTAAATTTTAAAAAATAGTATTTTTAATTATTATGCTGACGTTTCGACCCACCTTGCAGGTCTTCATCAGGGCGTGGCATGTGGCACTGCAGGAGGCAGTTGATAGACTCAACAACCACTCTTTCATCTGCCTCCTGCAGTGCCACATGCCACGCCCTGATGAAGACCTGCAAAGTGGGTCGAAACGTCAGCATAATAATTAAAAATACTATTTTTTAAAATTTAGTATTTATTTGACCGCACCCCCCGACCAACTCCTCATATCATATCACGGGCAATCATCTCTACATCATCATAATTAATTTTCTACTTATATTATATTGCTGATTTTGTGTATGGTTTAACAATTTGGTATTTGCTTAGGAAAAACAATCACATACATTTGAGCTAAAATAGAAGTTGTGTTAAAAAATGTATATAACATTGAGATTGCACTTACCAAATTATAAAAAAATTAGAGACTGTGATTGTGGCCTGAGCCTACCTTGGCATCATGACCCCTACGGCTGCTATCAAACATCTCTTAGCCCTAATTTATAAACATGCATTCATAAAAGCTAATATTTCTATTCTAAAGTAATATGGTGGAAGGAAAAATGGAAAGATATTTCTTAGATAAAAGTTTTGAAGCTGGAAACTATTCTAAGCTAAAACGTATGAGATACCCAATAGTAAAAGCTGGCCGTTGACATGGTGGGAAATAGCTGAGTCTCCACTATTTTTCTTAAACACTTAATTATCTTCGAATATATACATCAGAAAAATTTGGAACTTTTTAGTTATGTTTATTATTGTGATCTATTTTTTACCTACAAATAAAAATTGGAAATTGGTGCAAGTATTCCATTCTAATTTTAATTTTTAATTTCATATCTACATTTAGACTGTATGGCTTACTGGATTTCTCTCTTTTGTTTAGAAAAAAAGAGTTAGTTTTCTGGATCCTCCAGTATCAAAGGGCTTGCTTTACTCCAAGGGCTCTGATAATATTGGTCAAGTCCAGCACGCTAACATTCCACCTGGTAAGCCAATATTCAAGTCACTTGTTTTATTATTGTGAATATTGATTTATCACATTAGAGTTAAAATAACGTTTAATAGTCATAAGATCTGCCATTTAAAATATTAGTTTTTTCTGAAGGTAAAAAGCCAGTATGGAAAGGTTTTGAAGGTGAAATTGAAGATAAATCGTCTTCAGATACATCGAAAGTGGAAGAATCGGATGAAGGGTTTGTAGCGGTAGAAGCCGAAGATGAACTGACTGCAATACAAGAGTTCTTGAACAGTACTCCTGATGCTCCTTGGAAAGACACTCCATTGGCTGGCGAGATTTCCAAGATTCCAGGGATACTCTCTTGTTCTGACCCAGTTCACAATATTATTTCAAGAATTGCTTCACCTGGAAGGTAAGTAATATCTTCAAAGCCACAGGAAATGGCATCAGTAAATAGTATTTGTTTTACTTATTATAAAATCTTGATCATCTGGGTTTACAATTATTCAATTAATTTTTCTTTACAAAAAAAGAAAATGACATCCACTTGTAAACATCCTATTACATTTAGGTATGCTTAGTCGTGTCATAAATATTGTTACAAATTTATGTAAAATTAAATTTTTCAAATATTTTATTAGAAAATAAAATTTATATCTACAGAGAGTAAAACAAAAAAGAAATTACTCTAAATGTCTCCCTTTTGCCCTTGACACAGGCATTTAATCTCCATGGCCAGTCTTTAATAGCAGCACGCAGCACTTCTTAAGGAAAGCGCTCAACTGCTCATACCACAGATTCTTTGAGGTTTTCCAAGTTAGGCTGTGCTCTGTGGCATGCCATCCTCTCCAGTTCGGACCAAAGCCAATAATCTAGTGGGTTGAGATCAGGGCTTCCTATAGGCCAATCCAAGGCAGAGATGAACCCTGGAATGTTTTTTTGCAGCCACTGCTGAGTTGACCTGGCCTGGTGAGCTGGAGCAGAATCCCGCTGAAAAATCCAATGACTTCCAGCAAAGAGAGTATGATTTAGACGCTGTGTGTACACATGATCATTTTGGCGATTAAATTTGTCTTCAATTGTAAACATTTTCTGTCATTCTTCGAAATGCACCCATCCTAAGGTCACTTTTTATTACGCGAGACATTGATCTGACAAAGATTTCCATTTCCTGAGACATAATTTGTTGTTATTGAATGGGATTTCTTCTGATTTAAGCAGTTAATGCTCTCACTGCATTTGCCATTTTCACAGTGCGGGGATGGTCCGGTTGAGGTGTGTCTCATACAGATAGGGTCCTCATTATTTCTATTTATAGTGCGGTACACGAACATACTGCTGATACCGAAAGGTTTCAAAGTGTTGAAAATCTCTGACCCTGAGGTCTTCTTCCCTCAATTTTACTTTCCAATGCTATGTTGGTTATTCGATTCTCTGGCATTCAAGAGACATGACCAAACCATCTCAAATGATTTCCTCCATCACACTCAATCTGATCTTATGTTTAGATTTTTCCGTTTTGGTCTCCTTGCTCTCTTCTCTCTTGTTCAAGAATCCTTTCTTGATGGCGTTGAAGCACCTTTCTGCAGACTTCACTTTTTCCTTTATTTCTCCGTTGATCCATCCATGTTCATTGATGTGGGCACCGATGTATTTAAAAATTTTCACTTGTTCCCATGGAACTCCACTCAAGTGGACTATTCTGTCTCCTCTTTCTTGTTTTTTGCCAATCCTCATAGTTTTGGTTTTTTCCACATTTATTTGCATATTTATTTTGTTTAATTCTTCCTGAAGAATGCGGAGGTTGAATTGCAGGTTTCATTCATTGCTTCCAAAAACCACCAAATCGTCTACATAAGCGAACAGAGAGAAAAATACAGGCTGTAGATTTCTGTATCCCATTTGATATGTCCTTATCTTTTGTTTTGCTATTTTTATTGCATTGTGTAGCACTAGTGTAAATAGCAGAGGACTGAGACTGCACCCTTGCCTAATACCTTGATTAGTTGTGCACTCTTCTGATATATTATTGCATGTTCTCACAACATTTCTTTAGGTCTTATAGAGACTTAGAATTGCCTTACGAAGGCTTGTTTCGATGCCTTTGTCTTCTAAGGCTTTTGCTATGTCTTGCTTCTTCACTCGGTCAAATGCCTTAGTGAGGTCTACAAAACAAGCATATATCTCTTTGTCCCTTTCTATTAATTTTTCAGAAATTTGTCTTAAAGTAAATATGAGATCCTGGGTACTTCTATTTGGCCTAAATCCATATTGTTCTCCACTCAGAGAGGATTCCACTGTTCTTCGTAGGCATCTCTCTAAAATCTTTGACTATATTTTACTTGAGACACTAAGAAGAGATACCCCGGTGGTTTTTACATTCTCTGTTGTCCCCTTTCTTAAAAATTGGTACTACAACAGATACTTCCTAATCATTTGGAATGTTCTTTGTTTTCCACACGAGGTTTAGAATGTGCTGGAATACTTCTATCCCCTTTTTGGTTCATATATTTGATCGTTTCAGGGGCAATCCTATCTATTCCTGCTGCTCCTGTTTTCAGTGAGACTATAGCATCCACGATTTATTCTTCTTTACTAATAAAATCTTCTTCCAATTCGATCACATTTGATCGTCCAGCTTCATGATTTTTGTCTTCAGTATTTTCGTCCAAAAGTTCCTTGAAGTATTCAGCCCATCTCTGCATGATTCCTTTGTTGCTTGTTAGGATATTTCCTTCCTTATTGTTAATTCGCTTTAGAACAGATTCTTTCTCTTTGCACATGTTTCGAAGCATTCTGTAGAAAAGCTTCTGATTTTCTCGGAAATTGTCTTCCATCTTTCTTCCAAAATCTTCCCACGTTTTCCTTTTGGCTTGTATCACCTTGTTTTTCACTTTTTGTCGTTGAGTTACGTATTTTTTGTAATCATTATGGGAATTTGATTTTAGATATTACTTCCAATACATCTTCTTTCTATTAACTTCCTCTTTGACCTCTTCATTCACCACCATGCGGTTTTCTTTAGTCTTTGTCCGTTATTTATTTTTCCACAAGTTATTTCTGCTGAGTCCATCAGAAGTTTCTTGAAAGCTGACCAAGTTGTTTCGGTTTTGTCCGAGTCCCAGTAGTATATTCCACTAAGAACCCTTTCTTCTATCATGTTCTGATAGGCAGTTGCTATTTCTTCATTTTTCAATTTGTAGGCATTTATCTTTTGTTCTTTTTGATACCTTTTATTTTATTTTCTTAGAAAAACTTTATTCAGACTGATAGCCATCCTTAAGAGCCTGTGATCGCTGCTCCTCTCTTGACCCTGACGTCTATTGCATTTTTGATTTCTTCCCTTGGTATGAGAAAGTAATCTATTATTGATTTTTCATTTCAACCTGGTTCCACTCTTGTATATTGGTGTATTCTTTTATGTGGAAATATGCCGTTTGCGAGACAAGTTCAAGATTCGTTCTCCTGAGTCGTGATGTTCTTCACCATTTTTTCCTAAGGTTCCCTGCCATTTAAGTCTCCCATAATAATAGTGGTTCTATTGCTATGTTCTATTTCTCTTTGCAATGTCTCAAAGAACATGTCTTTTTCTGCAGCGGGTCCATTGTTAATTGGCCTGTAGGCAACAAGCAATATGTAGAGTTTGTTGTCCCATAAGAATTTGATACATAATAATCTGTCATCTATAGATATCCATTCTGTTATGAACCTGGATATGTCTTATAATAATATAACATAATATAGTATATTATAATATAATAACCTGTTAGAGGTAAGGATTGTCTAATTAATACCCAAAGATGTAAACAAAGTTAAACTTTTTTTAACAGTATTTGTGGCAGAACTAGGTACTGAGTGTCCCTTTCCCCCAAAATAGGGAATACAACTTTTATGGGTTTTATAGTAAATTGAATGCTAAAAAAAAAAAAAATTTCTATGATTATACATGGGAAAATGCGGTTTTCGACCTTAAGGTAATTTTAAAAAGATATTTTACAAGGATTAGTTTGCCAAATAAATTTTTAATAAACCTATTAAAAATTCAAACTTCCAAACTAAAACAAAAAAAAAAAAAAAAAAAATACCTGTTTGTCAGCAGTATTAAGTGATACAAGTGATAAACAGATGAATAGGGTAATTTGAAAGTAGGTGGAATTGTAGTATTAAGTCAAAATTAATATTTTGCTTCTTCTCTATTCCCTTGAATCAATAATTTAATTGGTGACATTGGTTCATGAAATAAAAAGTTAGATCTCAAATTGATGATTTTAAGGATTTCTCAAGGATACTTGATTACTATTGAGGTAGCCTCTTTTTGTATTTCTCGATTTTCTAATGTTATTTTAATTTTTTTAAAGTGAGAAAATGTTATCAGAGGAATTGCTAAAGTTGAAAATAAATACTATCGGAGGTTTTTGTTCATTGACAGTTTCGGATATTATGAAACTAAGTATTCGACCAGCAAAAGTATCCACTCTCTACAATGTACTTAAGGTAAGTTTGTAATAATTAAAAAGCTTTTTTTTTTTTTTGCAACTTATTTTGTTCCTTCTCTTTCCACTGCATATGTTTTAGTTATTTGGAATAAATAATAAATAAAATACAAAAAAAGTTTTTAACCTTAATACTGGAAGTTAATTGGTTGATCACTTGTTTTCAGGATTACTTTCAATGCCAACCATCTAGCAGTAAGAAGTCTCCAAAAGGTAATTTATTTACAATACTTATTTGAAAATCAAATTAACCAATACTATTTTGTTTTACTTCTTTCATGTAATTTAAAATTATCTATTTTAATATGATGAAAAATCCTGTTTAATTTTGAAAAAAATTTAAGTTAAATTATCTCAACATTTTTTGAATACAAATAGACTTATGTCAAACTGAATAGAGCGTTCAGACAAATTAAACCAATTTTCTATTTAACAATTTTAGGAATTTTAATTCAAATATTTATATATTTAAAAATTTAGTTTAACCTTCTTACTAGCATAGTCATTTATCTATTACTTATGAAGCCAACATATTTCTTTATTTTTCTTGGTGTATAAGATGGGAATAAATCTAACATTTTTTCTATTTTCTTGCTTAGTTGCCGATACATGTGTTAGGTACCTCAATTATATGTGGGATCGTTTTCATCAGGATATTGATGTATTCATCTTTTTATTTTTCAATATTTATTTCAAATTACTTAATTTTAATGTGCAAGTGAGAAGTATGAAAGTAAAAATATAAATTATTTCTTCTCTCTCTTTTCGTGTCTTTCAGCATGGAGATCCCTCCGCTAGGTGCATTCACCAATCTGTTGCTAATACCTTCATCTCAGTATTTGTGGTTCCTCTTTTCTGACCTATCCTTGTATGCTTCAATATGGATGGATATATACACACATAAACGCACATGTATGTGTGTGTGTGTATATATATATTTACAAAATTTATTCAATTGACCTTTGAGAATTATGTTAACATATATATATTATAAAAATATAAAATATAAAATAAAAGCTCCCCCCTACATATATATATATTATTTGAAGCATATATGAGTATGCGTGAAATAATTTTTTCTTTTTTTGCCTTATTGGTCTTGCTTCCATACTATCGGTTCAGTCTTCTTCTTGATTCTCTGTCTTCTTTCACTCTACAAAACATTAAAGTTTGTCGACATTCCATTGTTGATTTTAGCTAGTCATAATCTTGCTTAAGTGCATAATTTATTTTATGGTTAAGAATTACTTTATATTTAATTGATTTTTTTTGTGAATGCTTTTATTATTATTATTAAAAATAATAGTGTATTTTAACTGTTTTTGCTTCAAATTTAAGTTTTATTGAAAAAAATTCCATCCCTGCTTACGTAAATAAGTTATTATTGATTTTATTATTAATTAACATATTACTTTCCAGTCAAACTGCCAGAGGACTCGCCAAAATCATTAGAAGATGGTGAAAAAATGGATTTTGTCGAAACTCAGATTGAAATTACTACTTTAGGCATTGAGATGGGTGTACAAGTTGATCCTTCCGAGATATGTAGCGATGACACATTTACTTTCTCCCAGATGAGTCAAAAGACATCTCAAAATACTCAAGATTTAATTTTGACTCCTCCTGTAGTCAGGGAAGTGGAATTGTATTCAGATTCTCAAGAAGATATTAAAATACCGACCCGTGATGAAATTGGATTAATGTTCCAAAGTGATGTGTTTGTAAAAAGGGCTGCACCTTTTGTAACTTTTAATTTCTTAAGTAAACTTTCTGCTGCTGCTGCTGAATACTTCAGATCTAGACCAGATTAATTGAATGTCTTGTGTCCGTATTGCTTTTTATGTAAGGTGTGTATAGTTATATATATATCTATATTTTTATATATTGATGCAAAATGTGTAAATGAATTAATTATGTTTATATAATGAAAAACAAAATCTATACAGTTGGCATTATACTGTGCAGTGCGTTCGTGTGTATTATAGACTTTTATGTGGAACCCGTTATTTTATTTATCTTTTTTTTATTGTATAGTTTTTAATTAAACTTTTTATTACCATTTGATTATTGTTTATACATGTATATTTATTTTAGAAAGTAAAATGTTCTGTAATTTATCTTTTTGTACATTTTTTTTTTAAAGTATTTATTTTTAGAATATTAAAAAGCATAATAGGTTTAGAAAGATTTTAAAAATAATTGTGAACTAAAACCAGGGACTGAACCAAACAGTTATCTGTTATTTTACCAAAACAAAAAAAAAAAAGAAATAAACAAATTTTTATGATAGTGAAATAAAAATGTTGTTGGAACTGTCTTATTTAGATTATGCAGAAAAAAGTTTTAATAATAATGATCAACTATTCGTTTTTAGCATCTGAATAATTTTTCATCAAGTTTTGTTTGTTTTAATATTGCATCTATTTTAATTTAAAGTGATATTAAAAAAGATATTTCTGCTTAGTGCATTTTGTCAGCGGTCCGTGGAAATGAATCTTGACATTCCCACTCTGGTAAGTAGTTGGTCTTGGAAGTTTTTCCTGCTTTATTGGTATGACTTATTGAAATGAATATTTTTATTATTATTGAATATTTTAACTTAATTTGTTACTTTTTGGGAGCGGGGTAGCTCAGTGGTAGGGCACTGAGCTTCCAATGCAAAGGTCCCGAGTTCGAACCCCGGCCATGGCAGATAATTTATTTATCTGTTTCATTGGCCGTGGAGCGACCTTGGGTTAGGAGTCCCTCCTGGGGCACACCCAGCCTCTATAAAGTGGGTACCCTTAATTAAATAATTGATTAAGGGGGAAAACCTGGCGGTTGAGCGTGATCTCGGTCAAATCACCTCCTTGCACAACCGTAGACCTAGAAACAGTGCTTTCCCTAAATAGTACTGAACCCCAGACCCTTCATGGGTTGTAGTGGTACAGGTTTTTTTTTTTTTTTTTTTTTAATAAATAATAGCTTTATATACGCTATAGAGAATGCAAATAGGAGGATATTTGAAGCTAGAACACTGCAGATGGTGATGCCTGTACATCAATTGATATGCCTCAATAGGGGTTGGCGACCCAGTTGACAATAAAACAATTCCAGGTGTTTGTTTCTAAGAGGTTTCCTTATAACTTTAATTCATTAAACAGCAGTTTGCCATTTCTTTGTTTAAAAACCTTGCACAATTTATTTTTGGAGTGTTTCATTATTTTTATTTAATTCTGATTGTGGCACTGGTTGATCCAGGGAGAGAAATAAAAAATATATAGTCCAGGATGGCAGTCATAAATAGATTAAAATATTTTATTTTAAAATAAAAACTAACATTTTGACCTGCAAAGTCGGGGCGAAACGGATTGAAATAAAATATTTTTTTCACTATTTTAGTCTATTTATGACCTTCCTCCCTCCTGAAATATCTCCTTCCTCGAAAATACACAACGGTCTACTACTATTACTATTAATATCAATCGAAAAAATATGTATTTTTTATTGGTCCATATTTGTTTCCGTTAGTGATCTAAGCTAAATACTTAAACAATCACGATTTGGGTTCTTTAATGTTAGTGAATAAATATGTAGTTCACATTTATGTTCAAAATTCCTCTTAAATTGTCTATTACTAGTACGTTTACCTTATATGATATATGTTCACTCTTGAGCCATTGCTCATCAACTAATAAAATATTCACATGAATCTTTCAATGCAAGCTATGAGTCATCTGTAAAAATACTATTATATATCCAGGCTCTAGCGGTAACTCTTGCATATTTTAGAACCATTTTAACATAAATCTAAGATCTGATGCTGAGTATTAAAGGTAACATTTAAAAAAAGGTGTTTATTTTTAATACGTTATATAAAGGTGTATAAAACTGTCTCATTGGCAACAAAAATTTATTTATAAAAAATACTAAAAAGCAATAAATGGATTGAAGAAAAAAAATTGTTGATTTATAGATATTATTAGTTCTCTTTAGAAACACATAATAAAATTATGTTATTATATTAGCAATAAAACAGAATATTAGTCGAAAATTTCAGAAACAAAACTTTCGGGCTGAAGCCCCCCAAAATGGAAAAATTTTTTTTAAAAATACCTCTTAAAGTATTATTGTTCATGTAATTACATTTAAAAGTACTTAAGGAATAACTTAAACACCATTTCATGTAGGTAGTTAGTTTCTTTCTGTTTTTCCAAAGTAATTATTGTTATTTTTATGAAAAAAAAAGGTTTCGGGCTGAAGCCCCCCCCCCTCAAAATTAAATCCTGGATCCGCTATTGACACAGACTCCAGTCATTGATATCAGTAATAGCTATTCAAATTAAAAAAAGGACCATTTTATTAGTGGCATTATTATATTCATAATAATATAATTTAAGTTGATGCTGCTTATTAATAGAACTAATAAAAATAATAATTGCTTTTTATTTTTTGATATAAGGTTTAAAAGATGTGGGAAAGTAAATACCAATCTATTTTCAGTTAACAATGGTTTTCTCATGTAATCAAAGTGTTAATGATTAATAGGCTTTCTATGTATTTTTTTTAATGAAAATTGTGTGTATTATAATCACAATTGTGATAACTAGGATATCTATGTTTCATCATAGCATATCCATTATGCATGTGTTAGAGAAATAGCTGTTTTTTAATCATAAACTACCAGATTTGGGAATCACAAACAACTAAAGGCATTCAACTATAAATGGGTCATTCTTATATTAGTTGACCATTTAGCATTTCTAAACCTAACAATTGGGGTTAAAAAAACTTTGAAGTAAAATTGATCTCAAATATTACTATAGATGTCCTAGATAACAAACCATTTTTCCTACTTTACAATCAGAGCATTTAAGACAACTTAAAAAGGTATCTATAATTCAATATACCATCATATAACAATAAAATTTCCTATGGTTAAAAATGAATGAATACAGATTATGTCATATCAAAGCATGAAGAACTTTGCGGCCTCGCCATTCTATTCCTTAGAAACAATTAAAAAAAAAAAATTCCATTATTTTTTTTTTCACTTGAAAAACATGTCAATAATGAATGTAAAGCCTGGTGACATCAAATGGTCAAATAATATAAGAATGACCCTAATACACTAAATATGAGTGTTTTAAAAAGGCAATCATCATCATAACCTGTGGCGCTACAACTCCTGTAGAGTCAAGGCCTCCCGCAGCTTGGTCCGCCAGTCTTCTCTATTGGTTGCCGCTGCTCTCCAATTGTGGATTCCCAAGAAGGACCTGGGTCTGCTGCCACTCCATCGGAGAGGTCTTCCCACTTTTCTTGTCCTATAAATCCTTTCATCTAGGACCATTCTAGTTAAATGACCTGCCCATCGAAGCCGGCCTACTTTAATTACCTTTACGATATCTGAGCTCTTGCAGAATATTTTTAGCTCAGCATTCATTCTTATCCTCCAATTCCGTTGATACAAAAACCTTTTTATTTTCTTATCAGTATTTTTCAATGTAAGAAGAATTTTATAGAAACAAAGGAGCATTATTTTGAGGAATCGATAAAATTAGACTATACTCAAATCATATTTTTTTATTAATGTTATCATGAAAAAAATACATTTAATGTTATAAAATCAAACATGTTTTTTTAAAAATAGGAATATACTAAATAAAACAAAACCAATTATGTTGAAATAATATGAATATATTTCTGAGAAAAAAAATTATTTTAAAAACTTAATAATAAAATCATTACAGTTTTATTTATAAAATTTATCATTCAAATGTTACAATAACTTTCATGCTATATACAAACGTATAGTTTTCACAAACGTATTCGATATATTAATATCGAATGAAAAAAAAAAAATGTTCCTCTTCTTATAGAAGTTGATTCTTGTTACATTACTACTTTGAGAACCTACCACCACCACCCCTGAAGCCTCCCCTACCTCCTCTGAATCCGCCCCCTCCACCACCACCGAAGCTTTGCCTACCACCACCGCCCCCTCTTCCTCCGCCGCCGAAGCTTGGTCTTCCACCACCTCCTCGCCCTCCAAATCCACCTCTACCTCTTCCACCACCACCCCCTCGTCCTCCAAATCCACCTCTTCCTCTACCACCTCCTCTTGGTGGAGGTTTCACTCCAGGGGGTAGGGGCAGAAACCTCTTTAATGGGAGCAGTTTGTTAGGGTCAATAAAAAACTGAAAAGAAAAAAAATGATTAGAAGAAAATAATTTATGACAATCTATTTTATTAAGGACTAACAAAGGTAAATCATTTATCTTTGACGTGTTTGATTGATTGTGAAAAATGATATAAATATACAAAACATAGACTTTTTTTTTCAAGAAAAATTCAAAGGATCAAATAAATTAATGAAATAGCTAAAAATTATGAAAAATGGTTTGTTTATTCCAATTATGGTTGCTCATATCCAAAAATTAGCAAGTAATGGTCCGTATTTGTTATTTTATCATTTCACAAAACAAATCACTTCACTTTTGAAGAGAATTCCAAAAGCAATACATCCCATCCTTTTGTAAGTTAAAAAAATACATTCATTACAATCAGACACAAAAAAATATTCTATTGTGATTGTAAAAAAAATATAAAATAATACCTAATACCTACAATAGCACATTTTATCACGCAAAATTAAAAAAAAAAAAAAAAGACAAATATATTTTGTTTAAATTTTTTGCTGATTTCAGTTACAGCTAAAGCCTACAATCATCTCATAAATTTGATGGTTTAATTTATTTCGTAAGGATTTTTATTGTGCCCATATTTACCAAATTTAATGGTTGGATTATTATAGGACAATTATGAAATTGAATACTTAAGTAACTTAAGACTTTTGTTTAAGAACTGGGAGTCAGATTTTTGAAATACAAAATGGAGAAAAAAAATTTACAATCAACAAATTTGCTTAAAATTGTCTGGATATCTGATTTGATTTTACTTTCCAATAATTAAAAAATGTGTTTTTCGGACTCAGTAGGCTCTGAAACGTATAGTTCCGTTGAAAACCGCATGTCGGAAATTTGACCCGATAGCAATACTTTCCTCACCTAGTATAGGTAGGAAAGTAAAAAGGTAGATATAACCTGAAAAAAAAATCTGTACCACTATAACCCAAGGAGGGTTTTGGGGTTAGTCATTTGAAAGGAAGTACTATTCCAAGGCTAATGGTTGTGCAGGGAGGTGATCAGGCAGAGATCACACTTGACAGGTTTCTTCCCTTAATTAATTATTTAATTACGAGGGTCTCTTAGCACCAGCATTGATCCACGGCTGATGTAACAGAATAAATAATTATCTGCTGCCACAGCCGAACTAAAACCCAGAATCTTGAGTACAGGAAGTCGGAGTCGTACTCATAGCCCACTCCCTTCTAATATTGAAAAATCATAATAATTTGCAAATAAACAGGGCAAAACATAAATAAAAGATTAGCTACAATACCTTATCCTTGCCGTTGAAGCTTTTGGCTTTTATGTTTTCTCCAAGCTTAACAGAAACATAATAGTTTCTTATAGGTCCAAAAATTTCATCAATTTTACCAATTTGATTTTTATCTTCTGTAAAGATGGGAGCATTAAAATATGGAACTTCTTCTTCTAAATCGACTTTCACAACGATGTCATTTTGACAGGTATGAAGAAAATGTCCCAAAGAAGTTACCTAAAAAAAAATAATCAATATTATGAATAATACTCAAAGAACATTAAAATGAAACATGATTATTTTTAATTTAAAAGTTTTGATGTTTAAAATCTAAGTCTTTCCTGACTGCTTTCAGGTACTAAATTTTGAGTTGTGTTGATCCTCGATGACGCTTTACAGTTTCTGCTCATTATTGCCAAAAGGTTAAATAATTTTTATTTTTCTGACTAATTGTAATCACAACTTGTACTTCATCAAGTTATTGAAAATAACCTGGTTGAATATAACTTAAAGAGGGTAAATACCAACATAAGCAACAATTTAAAAAAAGAATAAATGTAAATTTCATGTATTTTAATGACTTCAGTAAAAATAGAGAAGTTTAAGAAATGTTTTTAAATCTTTCCATATTATCTGATCTCTGTATACTCTTAAATGTAATCAGTTTTCATTTAACAAACATTATTAAAGAACATTTTGTAAATACTGCCCAAAATATTTAAAATTATATTTTAATACAAGATGTCAACGTACAGAACACACTAGAAAAATGGAATTCTGAGAATTGAAGTGTTCAGGGTATATACAACCTTTATTTGATAGCAATTTATGACTTTTGCAAACTTCCAACAGGTCCTTAGAATTAACTAAAAAAGCCTTCACTACTTTAGACATCCGATTGCTCAAATGAGATAAATAAATTCCCAAGAGATTTTTTACAGTTGAGGTCACGCCTTACCACAGTTCAATCACTTTCTCCTGCTTTCCTATACACTTAGTTATTCTCAGGATCCCATTTATAGGGTCATTATTCCATTATTCAGCCACTCATGAAAATGGAAAACACTTGTAAAATAGTACTGCTAAAATATTAACACATAAAAAACATAAACATACGCTAATTTTAAATACCTCAATTTTAAACATTTAGTTGAATTAATAACTGAATTGAATTTATATCTCTAATAGATGCATAGTGTTCCTTTAAGATGTTGGTATTGGTAATGTAATACACAGAAATCAAAAGACGGACCTATAGGGCTAACTTTAACATTCCTCGACAGGTGAGTTCTTGTGCCCATCCATAATGTTGGAGTGACACTTCACAAGTATTACCTTATTATTAACTAGCTTGAATAAATATTCTCCTCCCCAACAATAATCATTTCGCCACTGTAAGTGCAAAAGGTCGTATGTAACAATTTTCCCATGTATATTCTCTGAGCGCCAAGATTGACTAGTATGCAACTGCCATAAGTAATGTGCTAAATAGGAAAATAGTGGAGAGAAATCAAATATGAAATTATATGTTATGTAAAAACAAAACTCAATCTTTGCATACGATCTTTTGTACTAACAGTAGCGATATATAGTATGAATTTATTACTAATTTTAAACATTGTTCAATTTACATACGGTATCTGGTGGTCCAGTATCTTCAAACCTTCTTCCACCGCCTCTTCCTCCACCTCGTCCGCCACCAAAACCTCGTCCTATAATTAGAAAAACAATTATATTAACATTAAACTTGTGAGAATTTCCTCATTGATTAGAATACAATAATTATAAATACATTGAGAGAATGTACATGGTGATGGCATACATGATACATATGAGGTATAAAATGATAATCTAATTTCATTTTTCAGAGGATCTATATATATATATATATATATGTGACTAGTGATTTCAGTTTTTTTATGTTTGTTATCTACTTCTGTCCACAATTAAAATTCATTTCAATGAAAATATAAATATATTAATTAGTACAAGTTAATAACAACATATTAAGTGTCAATCAAAATTCAAACTGATACAATCAACAATTAGAGAAAAGCCCACATTGGCACATTTAGGGAAGAAAATAAAGGGAGCATTATTTTTTAAACAAAGGAACTACAATACTATCGTTTACCTATGAGTTTAAGATTAAACAAAAAACATTCCTGAACAATAATAATAATAATGTAATATTTTTATGTTGTTAATAAAAACTTACCACCTCTACTATTACCTCTACCCCTGAACATGTTGAAATAACACTAACAACAAACCAGTCGGACTGAACAACTACATAAACTCACAACAATAAGTCAACACAACAACATGGTCGGGTTTTGAATAAAACGTGGTATTGAAACCTCTTCGGAGCTTGGGTAGAGGTACAAATTTGTCTTAGTGGATGTAAATAAAGCATCGTGTAGGAACTGATGACGTAACAAGCTATTTATACTCTTAAATCTCAAATTTAAAATTTCTGTATTTTATGCTTTATTTAAACTGCATACTGTAATTGTGATTTAAATTACCATTAACAAAAATATTTCAAACTAACACTTATCTATTTGGATTTGATGTGTAGATTTTACTGTTCTCTCCTCCTCCAATTTTTTCCTTTAATATTTACCGGTGCCGATATTATTTTAAATTTCAGGTTAGGTGACTTTTTAATTAATTATTTTTTTTACAATCTCTGCGGTTGTCAAAGTTATAGTTTTGTAATGTCAATGCCTCAATATCTTTAACATTCAGGTTGAACGCACCAGTTATGGACAGAGACCCAGTGGTGGATAGGTTGGACTTTAAATGTAAATAATAAGCTTACTTGTTGATTTAAAAATTCAAGTTGTTTCTAGATTGAAAAACAATACAACTGTATGAACGAAGTTCCCCATAGAAAATTTTAAAATGTCAATCATTGTTTTTATACTGCTCTTGAGATCAATGTGTTTCATACATCGCTACTAACAGTTTTGCTTAGAGTAAGTTGAACATTTATATTATGTAATCTTTATCGTTATGATTATAGTTAAATAAATATTTTAGAATTTTTCTGAGGTATGTCCAATACTGGTACTGATCCCCTGTACATTACTAGAACAATTGAATTTCGGGGGATCCATTACTAGTACAAAAAGGTGTTTTTTTTTTAAATGGAGATTATATATATACCTGCATATATCAATATTTCATTACTTTTCTATTTTAAAGTGTCAAATATAAAAAAGAGACCCTAGAAATTATAAATGTCCAATAGAGAAGTTTATAACTATATTAATTACGACGGCCAAAAAAGACTAAATATTCCTTATCTATGTCCATCACTGGTGCGCTAATTAGCCTATCCTAATTAGCCTATGAAATTTACCGATTTGAAACTATTTATTATTTAGATTGATATTTTTTTCTTGGGTCTACGAAGAAATAAAAGTCAATCCTTAGGCCAGCTTCGAACCGGTACCTTGTAACTCCAAAGTTTAGGAATACAATTTAGATTAGCATCCTTCTGTAATCCAGCTTATTCAGGAATTACAGGTGCATTAAGGAGCTAAAGGTGCATTTAGACATTTCATAAACTATGGGTAACACAATTATCTAACTTAACTAACTAATAGCGATATTAGCGCTAAGTTTATCTTTTTTTTTTTTTATTTCTCTTGTTGCCGATAGCAAATGGAAAGCATCAACAACAATTAAGCAAAACGCTAGATAGGAAAGCAAAAATTTAAATATGTTTTTCTTCGTGTTATGTTGATTGTTTAAACGCGCCTTAAAAAATATTGTCAGCCCAAATGGGAAAGTTGTTAATTTATTTCAGGTTTCCAAATATATCTAAAAAAGTTTTAAAAATTATCTCTGCAGGTTTTATTGTTCATATAATTATATATTTTTTTGTTTATTTCAAATACTAGTTTTCAAGGTCAAAATCAATAGGGTTTCAAGAATCATTTAAACATCACCTCATATATAGAAGTATTTAGTTTCTTGTTTTTTCTTTAAGTAACTACATATGTATTTATAAATATATATAAAAAAGATTTTGAGCTGAAGCCCTTTCCAAAGTTAATTTCTAGTACCGCTACTGTATATAGGTATAAATTGTACTGGAAGGCTAAGTCTGACTAGTGGAACTTTTTCGCCAACCTCTGACGGCTACCAAGATATTGCCGCAGTATTAACCAGATCTATCATCAGAATGTTTCTTCTTGGTCTTCCATCTTCTACCACAGCGTAGTGTGATGTAACCTTCAATAGAGATCAGACCCATCTTGTCAAGAAATATGAGAAAACACAAGAAGAGCGCATTCTGCGACTCTTGTTTCAACGTGCTAGGATTCTCAGCCTCTATGTTTATCTTTATTATGAGCAAAATATTTATTAATGTCTTTGTTGAAAAAATAATAATTAAAAGTTAACTTCTCAATGTCAGACAAAGATGAAAATATTTATGCATTTTATGATAAATGACTGGTACTGGTACTGGGTGGAGGAACTAGTCCGGTAAGTGGGCTTGTAGTGGTCCCTTTTGGGAACCCCTGACGGCTACCTTTAAGGTTGCCGCCGCGTACTTGCCAGAGTGGGAATGTCACGATCCATTTCCTGGGGCCGCCGAGAAATGAAAAGAAACCGACTCAGGTGGGAATCGGATCCACAACGTTCAGAACCGGGCACTCTGAGACCCACGCCACAACGTGCTCAGCCATCCCGTCCATAGTCAATAGTCAATACATTTTTAACCATTTCCTCCCTGATGGATTAAGTAACATCATCAACTATTCATGAGAATTCTATGGAATGGACGTCAAAATATTATAGAAATGATCGAATTATAATAAAATATATATATACTTCTTTAAAAACAGGAGAATATCTATCCTCCTTTAAATAATTAAGATTCATGCACTCAGAACGCCATTTGTCTCAGCTATCTATGATCTCTCCACTCAGAGATCTGGTTATCTAGAAGTATTATTATCTGTTGCACTCCCATAGTCACACAGAACGCTATCTAATGCGACCCATGCACTGAGACCGCAGATCGCATCCTATGAATAGAAGCCTTTAAAGGCTCCTATAAACAGAACGCAATGTGTCCCAATTATACGATACCTTTTCTCGGTATCGCTGGGTATTAACGTACTATATGTAACTGCTATAATGCAATAGATAGTAATACAACCATATCGCCATAACGCTACCGATAGTAATATCGTATCGTCGAGACACATCACACTCTGAGTGATAGCAGCCTTTAAAGGAACATTTAGACATTACACAAATTATATGAGAAGGATTGAACAGAAGAATGGTTGGGGTGATCAGTAAAGAAAAAATATATATATTAAAAATAAATAATTATATTTATTTTTATATGAGAAGGAGTTGGTCGGGGTTTGGGAGTTGGTAAAATAAATTCTATATATTAAAATAGTATTTTATTGTTACAATTAAAAATTATTTATTTGTTTGAGTGCTTCGACCACTGGGTTCATTTACACTGAAGTCTCTTTAGTCACTTGAAGTTTTTTTAAATTTTATTATTAATGGCGATAGTTTTTAAAAATTTAATAAGTCGTGAAGTCGTGTCTGGGTCCTGTCTCAATATTTGTTCTGGGTCTGTGGAGAATCTGTAGGAGTCGTGAGCCATACACTCCGTTAGTATGTGAAGCACTGTTAGAATACAACCGCAGTAGGAACATGTTGACGGTTCTTCCTTCTTCATCAGATATTCATGGGTAAGTCGACAATGGCCAATCCTGCGGCGGGTAAGAACTACCTCTTCTCTCCGTGGTAGCGGTAGACTTTTTCTTGGATGTTTAACACTGTTCGATTTTTCTTAATTTATTTTCTCTCATGCCAAACCATTGATGTTGCCACTTCAGCCATTCTTTTTCATTGATCCAAGATATGAGACCGTTGCTATCACTTATTGAAAATGCTTGCCCAATTTTTTATTGTTCGTTTCGTCTGTGTATCTGCATTTTCATTTCCAGGAATTCCACTGTGACCAGGTATCCATAAAAACAATATTCTACAACCAGCGTTTTTCAATGTTTTTAATTGTATTTTTATTTCTGCAATTAGAGGGAGTGTGGTAAAGAGGTCTAGTAGAGATTGTAGGCCAGATTTAGAATCTGAACATGTGACCAAGCAAAGGTAATTTTATGTTAGTTTAATTAAAATTAAAATACTATTTTATTGTAGCAATAAAATACTATTTTAATATATAGTTTTATTAGACCGCACCCCCCCGACCAACTCCTCAAATTATAATCACGGTCAACCATATCTACACCCCTACACAAACTATAGAAAACACAATTATTTAACTTAACTTATAGCGATATTTTTGCTAAATCAAACTATTTATTTTATTTCTCCTAATACCGACAACAGATGGAAAATATCAAAAACAAGAAACAAAAATACTTACGTAGTGAAATAACCATTTATATATTTGTTTGTTTTATAGTTTGTGAAATATCTAAACGCAGCTTTAGGTTCCTACACACAGCCGCTGGTAAATCTTTCGTTCTGAGCCTTTAATTTAAAAGTACGGTCTTTACAAAACGCCCAATTCCTAGACATTTCCTCCTTTCCTTCTCCCATTTTCTCTTTTAGTTCAAATGTAATCCTAAACCGCTTGGGACATCATTGATATTTTACGATGAAATCGAAACTGATCTTTTGATGACACCAATGTTTCCTATTTTTTCTTTAAATTTTCTTGTAATATAATTTTTGTTTACAGTAAATTCACACAAATATCTTATAAAATCTTGTTCAAACTAATTATGTTGAGTAAGGTGTGGCTGAGATATATTTTTTTTTTCGAATAAAAATTATGTTTGTTACTTTAACCTCTATGTCTCAATCTTAAGGAAGTGTACAGTATGGTTATATTTATTATTCACTTGTCAAATTGATACTAATAAGATAAAAAATAACTAAAGTTAGCTTAGTTCTCCAAAATGGATTCGAGTTCATCAGATGAAGATAATATACATACTTCAGAAATTGAAAGTAAAAAGGAAACATTTAATACTGTTTGTGAAGAAAAGGACTTTGAAAGCAATATATGCACTGAAGAGCCAGTTGATGATCATTTGAAGGATTTATCTAGTAACAGTGATCTTACCGTTGTTCTAAATAAGACATTAGAACCTGAAAATAGCCCAAATAATATGAAGTTCCTTTCTTCAGAATTTTTTGACCAATTTATTTGTCAGCCTAGTACTAGCAAGGAAAATCCTGAGATTATTAGGAAAGTGGATGTTGAAATGGACCCAGATCTCAGTGGAAAAGTGAATTGTAATATATCGAGTCCTGATTTAAATGAAAAGAATGAGTTAAAAGGAGATACTGAAATTCCCTTATCTGATTGTAGATTTAGGAAAAACATTGGAAATTCTGAAGAAAAAAAGAGTGACAATAAAGAAACAAATAACAATCCTTTAGGTGGTAATCAATCCTTTCAAAGCTTTGGAAAATTTCCCCCATCTTTTAATTTCGTTCAACCTGAAAAGAAAATTTATAATTCATCTGAGGAATATTTCTCTGATTTAAGACTCTGGTTGCAACAAGCATTTTTTTGGCAAAGTGTGACTGCAGCCTTTCCATATTTTCTTATGTGTCAACAGTTAGGACAGTTATCTAATTCTTCTTTTAATCAGCAAGCACCTCCTGGGTTTAATTTTCCACCACAATTTCAATTTCCTATTTCTCCATTCCAAAGTTCAGGTCAGCAAGCCAATCAACCTGTTAATCCATCTACACAAAGTCAACAGACCACGACTAGGCCACATATTACTGATGGTACATATTTTATTACTTGGATATCAAATTTGTGATATTTTATAATCCAAAGTTAATGAAACGTATTTCTTGGTTTAGCCTTTTTATATTTAACAGTTTAATAATAATTTGAATGATCCAGAATATTTAACTATTTTCTTATTCTTCTACTCATTGTTTAAGGAGTTGAATGCCGCATACCTAGTTTTTGGAAACGTATTGCTGCTGAGTTCATTGATTTCATGATATTATTTTTTGTTAAAATTGCTGTTACCTATGTTGCTATTGATTTTTTTCATTTAGTGTGAGTATTATTTTGACTTTAACTATTACTAAGAAAATACATCATAGCATTGAAAACATTGATCATGTTGTAGTGATCTGGATCAATTAGACATCCTTCAAAAAGATTCAAAGTTGGCTTATAAACAATTTATTCAAATTACTCAAGAGATATTTATCTTAGAGCTGATACATAGACTGGTTGTTTGTGTATTTGAGGTAATTCAGGTTTTTTACTTAGATATTAATTGTTAAAGAATAATATTTACAGTCAAACATTATTGTTGTTAAATAATATTTGATTATGATTTGTATTATTAATTAATTACTTTTAATATAATGGTTATTTGCTTTTATATCCAAAGTTTATATGAGCCGGTCTTCTGTTTTTAGTATAGAATGATTTTTGCAAGTTTAATTTTTTGTTAACATTACTTATTTTTATTTCAGACATTTTGGTTACGAGGAGGACATAACGGACAAATTGGTGGTGCTACTCCAGGTAAGAGTATTATGGGTCTGCGAGTTATCCATTGTGAGTCTTCAGCTTTTATTAGAGAAAGTGAAGGAATTATAGTGGTTAAGCCTGGCACAAATCTTGGTTTGGCTACTGCTTTTTTCAGATCTGTGGCTAAAAACTTTGTTTTAGCTCTTTTGGTTCCAACAAGCTTTGCATTTATATTTTTCCCCCATAACAGGACTGGTTATGATATGATTTGTAGCACAATTGTTGTTGAAGATCCTATTATTCCTCACCGAGTAAATGACTGATTATAAATGATTATCCTTTAGTGTAATTATTTTAGAGATAAAAAATGAGGAATTTCTGTATAGCAATGGTTATTATAATCTGTTACGCCAATTTTTGTTTTCATTATCAGTTATTTTGTGATTCCTTATTCTTGCAGACTGATTTAAATTAAATTATCAATTAATTAATCAAGATAATAATTGAAAAATTCAATTTAAATGTTTAATTTTCATTTTCATCGATGGATGTTGAAATGTATTGCTAAATCACATTGCTTTGCTGATATGTATTTATTATTAAAGGAGGGCAGACTAGTTTGTGAGAATTTTTGAATCATGATGTATTGTTTTACAATTTTAGGCAGTTAGTTTTTTATAGCTTTAAAAATGTCCTTATGTTACCAATTTTAGGAATATTGTTTCTTAATCATCAAAGCAATATTTTGTTGTTTCTGCTTGCTTTTCTATACTTTGATATGTAATATAAAAACTTGATTGAACAAATAAAAATCCATTATTTAATGTATGTTTGTAGTTTTTTATTACTTTTTAATTTGTTTCTTTAATGGTTTTGTGATACATTCACCTCTACACTTTCATATAAATTTATTTTGTATTTATTAAAGAGTATGGTATTGTTCATATGTTGAGTCAAAACTGGACAAACTTGGTTTATTTAAATACAGACATTTTTACCATAATAATTGTTTAATGAAAATTCATACCTAAGACTATCAATCTTTTTGTTAATTGGTGATAATGTATAAAACTATGGTTTTATAAGCTTAGCTAATGTAAAAAACAAAACGAAATTAACAAAAAAAATCATGGCTACTGTTTTTTTTTTTTAATACTTTAGTTGTATGTAAACAATGATAAAAAATCGGGTGCGCGCATCACACAAACTTTCACTTACCACTCTACTTTGAATAGAAAATATTTTCTGGCAATGTTGGGCTATTACATAAATTTCGAAGTGCATTTTTAATAAAGCTAAAGCTTAGAGCTAATAAATAATTAAGATAATTAAAATAACAAAACTTCTATTTACTTTAGCAATGGTTGGCAATAAAAACCTCGTAACTCCGTCTGTTATTGTAAACCAAATAACTCCAGTCTCTGAGCTATATATGCCTAGAAAGATTTCAAAGTACATCTATATATTTAACTTATAAATGATTATAGATTGTATGACTATTAGTTATTGAACTCTTATTTTATATAGTAATGTTTACTAAAATAGAGTTAATATGTTTTCATTGCCTGCCATAGATAGGTCAAAAGTTGTCACACTAATTGTAAGTGGATAATGTTGAAATTTCACACTTAATTTAATGTTCTACAAGATTACTTAATGATTTTTTGGAGTAAATGGATGATATATAACTAATTATTTAAATATAATGTCGGGTATACAGTCATTGAACCACAGTAAATTTATTTAAGGTTATAAACGAATGTTTTACACATCCATTAAACATTTTTATATTTCACTTCTTCTTCACACAAGTACAATGAAATAGTTTTTTAAACAATATCATTGCCTTGATTCAATGCATTTTATATACTTATTTCAAACTTAAAAATAATTTTAAAACTTAACATTTAATTACTAAATTTCATTTAATTTCCTTGAAAACATGTGATTAACGTTAAATAATATTAGTTTCCAGAAATTATTATTTTTATATTTTTTGTAACTTCCTATTACCTTCTACGACTTTCTATATCAGATATTATTTTTTCTAAAATTCTCTGCTTTCCAATGATATATTTTATGTGTATACATTCTGACTATTATTTCCAGAGATTCATTTGCAACCTAAATAAGCATTTTTTCTTTTTTCTCCTATATTCAATTATCAAATTCTCTTGAAAAGTTATGTTTAGCCTTTTTTAATTACTGCAAACAATGGGAGTTAGTTAATTATTTAAAATAAACCAAATTGAAGGTACTTTATAGGAAAAAATTTTGAACATTGGGCATTCAGGCCCTGTTAAGCGACATCAATGGGGATAAGACCTAAATATAATAAAGATTAGTTATTTATACATTAATAAACTGAGTTTAATCAAAATCGTTAGAGCTGTTTTTGAGAAAATTATAAAAATGTGTGAAATCAATGATATTAAGTGGCAATTCTGTTACTCAATTTTGACGAAAATGTTGCTGTAACATCCCAGGTATATAGTTAACTTGAATATGTATTTTCAGTTTAGTACAGATTTTCATTTTTGAGCTAAACTGTTCACATACAGACACACTGACACACGCACAGTCTATTTTCTGGGACTTGGTTTTTTGGACTCAGGAGACTTCAAAAAGTGTATTTCCATTGGAAACTCAGATTCAAAAATTTTCACGTTCGCAATACTTTTTCTTAATATGTATTACATTTATAGGTAAGTGAAAATAAAAATATGAGGTATCGAATGTTGTTTGATTTAGTAGAGGTTAAAAAAAAACAACACCTATTAGCATGTGTGGGCTAGTTTAAGAGGGAAAACGTTACTAGGCAGCCGTAATACATCCACTAAGCTATTCATTTGTTAATTCAATAAACTATATAGTCTGTCATTCATTCATTGATTCAAATAAAAATCAACTGGTGGATTATTGTAGTAGTAGTAGATGTTGTTTTTCCAAACACTCTCAACAATTTAAACATTCCTCGCAGCAATTAGTTTGGATTACTGAGATTGCACTATTACTCGCCTCATGGTAATATATAAGTAATTTTTGTTATATACCTAAAATGAAATGCAATATTAAGTGTTTCATTCAAGATTAGATGTGACAGAAGCTTTAGATTCATAATTAAATTTTATAGGAGGAAAGAAAAATTTAATGTTGTAGAATAGGCTATTGATTAAGTCTGTTTAAGCTGAAAATCGTTCTATCACCTGGTACAACTGTGTATAAAAGCGCATTTAACTCACCATTATTTATTCTTATTATTTACTTATTTATTCTTGTTATATTTTTATAACAAAACATTTATAAAGATATTTTTAATAATTAATCATTCATTATAAATCTTTCTAATGGATATTTTGCAAGCCTGCAGTGCAAGAGCTCGATGACAGAATGTAAACTCTTTAATTACAGAAGACTTTTTTTATCAGTCCAAATTGAGTCAAAACCTCTTGCATACTATCCATAACCTCTACCATTCAAGAAATTTCTAAATAAGTAATAGACACTCTAATTATTTATATTTCATTGTGGGTATTTTTATTTGTATAAGTACCCTTAAATATATATATATATATATATATATATATATATATATATATATATATATATATATATATATATATATATATATATATATATATACAATTTTTAATATTTATATTGGTGTAATCTATACAATTAAATATTAAATAATACCAACAATAGCATTTATGAAAACAGCATATTTATATTAATGTAATATTGTCGGAGTTCGTATTCTATTAAGCTCATGTTGCGTATGGAAGACTGTTATAATCATTCAGGTGAGCTCGGGGACTATCAATTACAACTATTCTCCGTTGCGATTTTTTATTTCTCCTTTAGTTAATTATCAAACTCTTTCATATTTTATATTTAACTATATTTTATATTAGAGATTAATGTGAAATAGTCAATTGTTTCAAATAAAAAAATTAAAGGTATTTTAGAGGAAGCTAATATTGAAAATTAGCCATTTAAACTCTGTTAGAGAACATCAATCAGAATAAAAACTACATTTTATTTAAAACTGCTTAATTTTACACTTATATAATGACTTTAATCAAAATCGTTTGAGCCGTTTCTGAGAAAATTGTAAAAATGTGTTTAGCCTATGATATAAAGTGCCACTTCCGGTCAGTCGATTTTGACAAAAAAGTTACTGTAACATCCCTAGCATATAAAAACCTTAAATAATATAGACTGTTAACTATAGTGTATTTTCCCCATGTATAATATATTTATATAAATTCACACACACAGACCATTTTGCAGGACTTGGTTATTTGGACTCAGGGGACCTCAAAACATGTATTTCCATTGAAAACTGAGATTCCAAAATTTTCACGATCACAATACTTTCCTTTACTATATATTTCATATATAGGTAAGTGTAAGTAAAAAGATGGAGAAATGGTTAACTCTGGATACTTATAGTTAGAGAAGTTGGGGATTGCAGTCAGTGAAGTACACAAAACATTATTTATTTTCTTTGTCCCGACGTTTCGGCCTAAGTTTTAGGTCTTCATTAGGGTTGCTTGTTCAAAAGATTTCAGATGAATGATGCATCTTCTGGTAAATGTTTCTAATGTTCTGGTAACTTTAAATACCTGCTATTATAATGAAAAATATTAGGAGCAGAGCCATTTGGAAATTTAGTTACCAATATTGTTAGAAATATTGTATTTTCTTATAAAACTTGATTGGTATATTTTATTGTGTTATCACCTCTAGCCAGAGATTATTCTTCATAAATCAATTGCCTGCATTATAGTTATGGAAATCAACAAAGGAAAAAAATCAACTGGATTGTCACTTATATTGTTTTGAATATGTGTTTGACTTGAATGGTGTGTCAGAAATAACTCATATTAATACAAATCATAATACAAATTTTATTGTTCATTTTTTACATTCACATTTTTATATCTTACATATTCCTTTTTTTTTTTTTAAGCTGTTTAGAAAAATCACTTACTTTGAGGTAACAAGTTTATTTTCTGGTAGTCTTGGTGATTACAGACATTGACGGTAATTACTTCTTGCCATAACCCCTTTAAAAAAATCAAAATTAATTACTTTAAACAAAAATTCATTTCATGGTATAAAATTCAATTAATATAGAGTAATACATTTATTAGTAAAGAAATATGATTAATTACTTTTTTATCATGTTCAAAAGTTGACATAGTTAGCAATATTTTAAGTAATTTATTTTTAAATAATTATCATTTTAAAATATCTTATAAAATAGCTGAAAAAAAAATTGCTTGAAATTTACCACCCTTCTAAGATATGCTCCTCAGAACAAGTGCTTCCTTTACCCCTGAATTTTGTCTATGGTTAAACTCTAATTTTCAAAAAGTTGTTTTACCTGAATGATCAAACTGTTGTTTTTTAAAAATAATGTTGATTTGATTATAATTGTAAGACGAGCTAATGTTTTTTTTGTCTCAAGTAATTACTTCTACTGGGCCAAAGTGCTTCAAATGCTTCACTTTTCATGCTTCACAATCACTAGTTATAGTGATGATCTCTGAACAGCCCTCATACACATGCATACATACACTATATTCTTTTAATATATATTAAATATTTATATATAAATATGTATCATATACATAAATTTAAATCCTGGATATAAATAATTATATATATCCAGCTGTTCACTCAAACATCGACACATGCCTTTTAATGGACAGATTAAATATCTTTACAGTGATCAGTCAGTGTTTTCAATTCAAACATCAAAACTCTCATGGGATTTTTTAGACATTGAATAGTCTTTTTTTTTTGTCACCTCTTTCTTGCCTTTTAGGCTACAGGAGTTTTTTCCTGGGCCGAGGGAGAGGACGGGGAAATTATGCCGAGATAAAAGTCCTACCGGGCACCAGGATTTGAACTCATAATTATTTTTCTATTTCAAACATCGGCTATCAGTTTGCCTAGCAATGCATGGTGCTGTGCACATGTGTTAGTCCGCTTGGCCAGCTGGCCACTTCCTATCTTCTCCCCGGACATTGAATAGTCTAAGCCAGAGATTGACAAATGCTACTCTGAGTACCGATCATGAAGTATTTCAATTAAATTGAATGACTATTGGGAATCCAATCGCTACTTCTGTTAATCGTTTGACATCAACTGAAGTAGTGATTGAATTCTTTGGTACTAAAAAAAAGTAAGTATTTGAATAAAACACTCAGTACTCAGAGTAGCATTTGCCCATCTCTTGTCTAAGCCATCTAACATAAAAATAAGCCATGTCGTTCACTCAAAAAATCGTTTCATATGTACAAATAGTCAATCTAAGCACAATACCTCCAAATAGGTATTAAACTTGATTTCCCTAGACTCCTAAGATGAAACTATAATTACCACGATCCTGAGCTGCTTGATGCTGAAGCTTGAGAGTGAGAATAGGACCCTCCTCCTCCGCCGCCCCCACAGGTACTGCAGCTGCCACCGCCTCCTCCGCTTGGATAGTGGGTATAACTTGGAACTCCACCACCACAGCCTCCTGGACCACATCCGTTGCCTCCGCTAGGGTACTGAGTGTAAACTGGACTACCCCCTCCACATCCGCCATAGCCACATCCTCCTCCTCCTCCTCCGCCTGGGTAATAGCCACCAGTATTGCCCCTATCATTAGATGAGATCTAATATTAAGGGATTTACATCTTCTCCAATGAATGTTTACTCATTTTATTTTTAATTTAAATTATTAAAATAGTTTTGAAAGCAAGTGAAAGAAAGTAAATTGAAGATAACACGACGATATGTCGTAACACTTAATGTTGAGAAAAATAAAATGTTTACTTGTTATTAACCTGTCTCATGAAATAACTAATAAGCATAATTAGAGGGTCAGGTCTCAGATATTTTATGTATATTAAAAAATTTAATACTGTATTAGGTAAGTATTAATTGGAAAAATGAATTCCAATTGGTAATTGGAAAAATTTAATCACACTGTCTTGTGTCTCTAAAATGCAGAAAAGGAATAAAATAATCCGTCAATTTTTTTGCCAATTCAGGCATCAACAGAAAGAGGAAACAAACCAAGATCATTTAATTCCATGAGATCCAATGGAGTTTTTTTTTTGTTTTTTTTTCGGTATCTTCTTGATTCTTCTTCAAATCTAATAATTGAGCCATCATTTTAGAAATTATCTTCTTCAGGAGCGAAACATAAGGACATCCTCCAGGAAAGTCAGTGAAAAAAGTTAGGAAGAAAAGGTACCTTTTTATATCCACATAAATAAAAAAAGTATACAATCTATGATTGATTATACCCTCAATATTTAGAAAAAATTCCAAATTCCTTCAAAATGAAAAAATACAAATAGTCAAGTAATAAAACAGACGATTTTTAGCAATAATATAGCCAATTGTAATCAGTAAACATTTTTGAATGAAAATGCATTCCTCCCTTTCATAATACATTGTATTTACTTATTTTCATATTATACTGGCATTTGTTCACTGACCAATACTGTTTGCGAATCATCACAGGGCAGTTTAATTTGTTTGCTTCCTATAACTTGCAAGAAATGGATTATAATGTATTGCTGTGTCATCGTTGATGTATTTATTTAGGAATCCATGTTTAAAAATAATTTATAAGAAAAAATTAAACTTTCTAATTTTTGTGTAGGGAGGTGATTTCACAAGGATCCCACTCAACCATCAGGTTTATTCCTAATTAAGGATTCTCACTTTATGAGGTGGGTGTACCTCAGAGTGAATTTACAGCTGATTTAACAACAATTAATAATTGTTATTTTAAAAATAATTGATTGTGTCAAATAAAAAAAATGTAATAAAACTTATTAGGTTAATGTTCTTTGAATTTTGTGATCAGAATGCTTTTAATGTTTTATTGTTTGATAATTACTGGTACTGGTACTGGTGGGGGAAACAAGTCTAGCAAGTGGGCCTATCGTGGTCCTTTTTTCCAACCCTTGATGGCTACCTTGAGGTTGCCGCCGTGTACTTACCAGGTGGGAATATCACGATCAATTTCTCATGGCCGCCGCAAAATGAAAAGTAACCGAGTCAGGTGGGAATCGAACCCACAACGTTCAGAACAGGGCACTCTGGGATCCGTGTCCCAACGTGCTCGGCCGTCCCGTCCTTCTGTTTGAGAAGTAAGGTACACATTTTTATTGTGTAGTAATGTTATTGAATTATACATAAATGTATATTTTGGTGAAATAGCAAAAATAATATATCTAATTCAAATATATCTAAAAAGAATACATAAGGGAGTTTTACATCTTATGTTAGATTTAATAAATAAATAAGTAAAATGAACAAAATAGTGGAGGTAACCATTTAAGTATCTTTTTTGTGCATTTTGGTTATATTTATAAAAATAAAAACTCATTAGGTTCATCAAAATAATGCAAACCTTATTCATAATAACTGCGCATTGTTTTGATTACACAGAGGAAAAATTTGTCAAATTAGTTTTACTAGTGATTTGATTTTCTAAAATGTTGCCTAATGACTTTTTGCAATAAACAGACCACATAATCTAAACCCTTATACATATATATCTAAACACTTATACATATATGCTGTATAAGTAGATTCACTTACTGTTGATCATCAATTCCATTTATTATATTAAACAAAATTTTAATGCTAACAAACACTGTTCATAATGGAGGTAAAAACATCAGCAATTTTAATATTTACTAATTTACGTAATTTTACATTACAATAATTCAAGATTTATTTTGTATAACATTGTAAAGCAGTGATTGCAGGGTAGATCACAAAGTTAGTTAATGTAGTTGTATGGTAGATCGCACCACGTACGCACAATTACAGTTAGTTAATGTGGTTGCACCATAGATCGCACCATATGCATATGTAAAATAACCACTGAAATACATTCTTATATTTATAATTGTTTTAATTTAAATCATCATATTTATTTTCACTTATGCTAATTGTATTATTTTTGGACCTAGTGGCTAACCCTGAAGCATCCTCCAGAATAGAGAGAGCTTATTGCTTTTGATTACAAAATTTTGTGTCTTAAGCAAAAATATATATTATTAGCATTTTCTAGTAGTTTCACTGAACTTGCTGATTTATTCCATCTGATAAATCAAAACATTGACAGAAGTATGTTAAATATAAAGAACAATAAATATTTTTATTCTGATTTATATCTGGGTAATCTGACACCAGCAACTTATGAATATATTTTCAAACAGTTTTGGATATAAATCAAAAGTAATTTTGAACTCACCAGCCTCCTCCTCCACCTCCTTTAACCACCGTGAACTCAATCACCTTGGCAGGATAGGCGACATAGCCACCAGGACTTCCTCCTCCACAGCCATATCCGCAGCCACCTCCACCATATCCCCCACTGAGCCATTTTCCAAAGGTTCTTTTTTGTCTCCGAACTGGTGGAAGGCCACCGTCGTCTATCTGCAACATTTAAGTAAATACAATTTGAACTATCTACAATGATAATTATTGTAGGTAGTAGAATAAATGATTAAATTTTGAGATTTAACCTGGCGTAAGCTTTATGATTATAAGCATTATAGCATATATATATATATATACAAACACAACAATAATAGTAAAACAATAAAAAGGTACTATCCGATTTTGATTACAGCAAAGACCTCCTCCATGAGTGTGAATTTCTCCAACATTATTTAAAATATGAGAAGGAATTAGTCGAGGGTGCAGTAAAAAAAAAAAATTAAAATATATAAATAATTTTAATTATTAAAATTATTAAATTAAATTAAATTAAAATTATTAAAATTATTTATATATTTTAATTTTTTTTTATTTTTTTGACCGCACCCTCGACTAATTCCTTCTCATATCATATCAACGGTCAACCATATCTACATCATTATTTAAAATACTTATTGATATTAGTTTGAGAAATCAGAAAAAATAAAATGGTCATCCTGGTCTACTGCTAGCACTTATATCACTTGGTCTTGTGCATGAGTCTTGCGACAGTCTTGCAGTTACCTATTAGCTAATTACTATAGAAATATTACTGTAATTTTTTAGGTAGGAGAAACTTAACTAAGCCCAAATGAAAAATTAGAAGAGTTAAATGCAAAAGCATATTGGTTATATTGATTATTTGCATGTAATAACTAAAATTGCCAAGTATTGGTAAATTGCAAAGTGCAAGACCAAGACCAATTTTGGTTATTTCAATTTGACTATTCAAATCAATTATTATTATCATTGATTAATCACAAATTAATCAATTGAAATGGTTATTATCTAAGGTGAAAAATTAAAACACTTCAGTAAAAGTCTAGGCTTAGAAATAGATGTCAGTTCTTTAGATTAGAATTTAAAGGAAGAAGTGTATAAAAATTTTGTTCGCTTGAAACAAATAAAAAAAAAATCTATAAACAGAACAATTACCTTTATAGTCTTGCCTGCTTGGAGTGAATGCAACAATGGGCTTGATTCAATGTTCTGAGGTTTAGATGAAGAGAGTTGTTCTTCTGCTGAGGCATCTAAACAAATTATTATAATGTATTAGATGCTTTTTATTAGATGTTTATATTTTTGCCTAAAAATAAATTTTAAAAATAGGAAGAGGGGAGTGGGAGAATGGGTAAAGAGTAGAACCCTCTCCTCCACACACATAAGGTCTAATCAAGAGCACAGGCGGATTTATGGTGGGAGCTTTCGGGCTGAAGCCCCCCTCCCCAAAACGGTAAAATATAACCATGTTTAATAGAAAAAAATATTAAAAACTATCTCTCAAAGTATTATTGTTCTTGCAATTACATTTAATAGGACATCAAGAATCACTTAAATACCATTTCATATAGGTAGTTCATTTCTTTCTTCTTCTTTTTTCAAATTAATTATCATTGTATATATGAAAAAAAATCTTTCAGGCTGAAGCTCCCCAAAATTAAATTCTGGATCCGCTAGTGACTAAGAGGAATCCTGAATTATTGTATCATTACATGTGCAACTATGTTGATGCTGTTTCAATAATATTGAAGGAACTTTAATAAAAATAAAATTAAAATTAATAAAAAAATAAATTAAAATAAGAAAAAATATAATATGAAAAAATTATTATAAAAAATATAATTTAATTATTTTTTTTAAATTATCAAAAGTAAAAAATATTGATATCAACAAGTTTGATTGACGTCATCATAAGTGATATCAATGTAGCCCTTATATGGTCAATATATTGAAAACAAGTGATATTGACCGTGTAAGGAGCACTTTTGATGACCACCTTGTGTTATCGGATTGGTCGCAATTACGGGGAAACTTGCGTGAGCTTAGAACAATGACGCTTTTAAACGCTCATGCTCGCTATAGTTTGATTATAGAATTGATTATGAATAAAGAATTTATTATAGATAACGAAATACAGCGGGCCTTCAATAATAACAGAGAACTTATTTATTCTAATGCATTTGTTAATACAAAATCGTAAGATTTTAATTTATTTTATACTCGTGCGAGACCATTCAAAATATTTGGGTAGGACGAATTTCAAACATTTTGAGAGGGGACGACTCTCCACCATCCCAATAAGGATCGACGCATATGATTGAAATAATAAGGGAGCTATACTGACCCTTATTTGCCATGTTCAACATTAACAATATATTGTACCATAAAGGTTTTATATACTTTTTCAGTTTACCCATTTGTAGACAATTTTTAAATTAGCATTCTATCTGATTTAGAAAAAAGTGACCATAGGATGTACGCAAACCGACTATCTATTAATACCTGGAATGACGCAAGACCAGTTCCTTCCAGGATGAGAACGGCCGTACGACTCATCTTTTTGTTTATATTCTCTCGTGTAAGCTGGTCGGTGTCTTGCTTGAATTTCGATGTGGCCAATTAGCTTCATCCTTCCATATTTGTTTTTATTTACTCATGACCTCAGTGGAGATTCCCCGATAGGCTATTCCTCTTCATCGTGGGACCCAAAGGTAATTTTTGGATTCACTCTTTTGTCTGGTCATATGTCATTTCATCAAGCCCTTAAGCACAACAATTCGTCGTTACATATTTTTTTTTTTTTTTTTTTTTTTTTTTGTAGAAAATGGATAGAGAGAGGAAGGGAGAGCCAAAATATAAAATTTTTCAAATATAAATTTTCCGAATTCTTTTGGATATTAATTTTTTCCTTACTTTTTGCGAATGTGGACACTTAACAACAATAATTTTATTTTATATTCAAACACAACATTGTATCGATATAATCCCAATTACTTAAATTAAAAGTTATTGATATTGGTTATAAATTTTAATAACTTGTTAGAGAACCAAATATTTTAAAAATCTAAAGATCCACAGGTACAACTGATTGCTGTTAATTACAGCCTTAAAGTTTTTTTTTCTTCGAATTTATGAGGTTTACTAATGAATATATATATTTCAATTTAATAATTGAGCAGTTAACGTTGTTATCATTCCTCGGAAATAAAAATTTTATATCAAAGACCAATGAATTCGAGTAATGGAAAATTAGAATCCAAAATAGTTAACTTATAGGTATTTCCTATAATGTAGGTAATATTTTTACTGAGGATACAGAGGCTTAAATAAATATTTGAGAGAGTAAAACATAAATCTATTGTTAATATGTTCCATTCAACCTTTTCATTTGTAAGTGTATTTTTTTCTCGTTTTAGAGAATATAAGCAAGCAACCAAAGGGCATCTTGATGGTGCTGAAGAGACTTCTTAAAACCCAAGTAATTATATACTCATTGGGAAGGAAAGAACATGAAGCTATGCTGACCATTTATACCAGGCATTGTGTTGTTAGATATAAAGGTCAGTTTGATTGAAAAGTAGTATTTATAATAATTTTTCTGTCAATAGAACTCAATCGAAAATGAACTATTCAAGATCCGCATTGAAGTATTTGTGGACATCTACATTCTCTATATGAAAAACGATATTAAAAGATTAATTTTTCCTCAATTAATTATAACATAACGTTTTATGAATATCGAATAAAATAAAGTGAGATAATAAAAAGGATATGAAAAAGACGAAAATCGCCAGTCAAGGGATAATTAACTGATCGTAAATTCTACAGTTGATGGATATTTCTATCAAATAAATATTAAATGGACATAGATAGAATCTCTCGGACTCGGTGGAATTATTACCACATTATGGAAGGCTGAAGGCACATAATTGCTTTTCAACGCTTACTGAGACTATAAGCTGGATGACCTTCGTTGGCAATGGACAATTCATGAGGAGTGCTTAATCGATGGTTATTTCACATATTAAAGCTATTTATAATCGAATATCCATAAATCGAATTCAATTTGTTAACAATTCATGAGAAAACCTCATGAGCATATTTCGGTAAAAAAAATTAATACTGCTGGAATTATGTACGTTACAAACTCTCAAAAAGCGTACTGTATACACCTTTCGAATCTGAAGGGATCTTCCTACTGTTCGCAGAAACGAACGAAGTTTTACTTAACGGTACAAGTTGAATTGATCAAACGATGCCACACGTCATTTTGATATTATTTAATTTTATCAAAGCGCCTTAAGGGTAGATCGAAAAATTGTTTTTATGGAGAGAAAAAAATCTTTATAATGTCATTCAATTTGTTAAGGTGTTACATTACAGGTGTTCATGTGGAATCCAAAATTCAGTCAACGATTTCTGTAAAAAAAAACTGTAATGAAAACTTGAAAAATTGTTTGGAGTCAAGTAGATTTTGAACACTAAATAATGCTTAATTTTGCAATAGGAAAAGATATTGGAAAGTGCACTGTATAAATCAAAATCTACCAAAAATCAGACCGAACAGGAAGTATTTTACATTCTTGGCTGTTAAGTATACTTTACATTTTATTTATTAATGAACAATTCTTATTGAAGAGAAGTTTGTTGGTGTGTTCAGTCAAACAAATTAAAAATAACCAACGTTTCGGCCCTACTTTTTATACACCTACGACAGTTTTCTTGTACTTTCGTTTTTGGTCGTTTGGCCTATATAATCTCGTTATTTTGAAAATTTGGGGATGAAGGTCACGCTCAATATTTTTGAAGGCCACCTTCTTTTCTCGACTTGGCGCTCCAGTTATCTTACGATTAAAGTGGAAAGTAAATGGATATTTACGAGTTTTTAGTACCTAATTAAATAGACAAAGTTTACCGACCTCCAGATTGAAAATGTCCCTACTCCGAGAATTTCCGTAAATAATATATTTGTAGATTACGATGAGATGAACCTATTTACGAAGTTTCAGCCGGATGTTAATAATTTCATAAAACGGGGTCTATACCACGTACTTCAAGGGAACTAATTTGACTAACATAGGTTTAAGTGTTGTAATTGATTACGTCACAGCTCTCAGCTGTTCAAGTAACTTTTATTCATTAAAATTTAGCACTCAAAGTAATTTTGCGCAATTTTTAAGAAAACCTAGTTGGAGTATAGTAGGTATCTCATCTGACTGGAGGTTGGTATTCCTTGTTTGGATCTGTTATATTCTGATTGTCAGAATGCTTTCTATTTTTGAAAATTTAAATTAAACTAACGATAATAAATAAACATAAATAAATTTAATTGTGTAATCGCTGTAATTACAATGCAATTGAAGTTGGAAGTTCGCATCGTTGAACAATCCTCTAGCATTATAAGTTCTTACTTTTAAAGATCTGTGGTTAAAATAGAATATTTATCAACTATGGTCTGTGGTTTACATTAAAAAAACATTTGTTAAACCGATACGCTTATTAGTGGAACTTTGACCATTAAAAGGCGATGAATGATAGAAAATTATATGTTGGCATTGTAAGCGAACTAATCGATCAAATGAACTAATAGATAGAGAACGAATTAACGGAAATATGTTTATTTTATTGACGCTCTTTTAATTGGCCGTGATTGCGAAGAGTTACCGGAAGAGACTTATTATTCTTTTCTATGCCCACGTCTTGACGAGAAGGAGGTCGTTCGTTAATGAACTGTGCAAAGTGTTTAAGTTGAAACGGATCTAAAATCGCAGATTTCATTATTCTTTGTAATTATTATCGTATCAATTGTATTTTTTAAAACTAATTTCAGACGAAATTATCATAATGGCGATAATAATATAATCATTGCATTTATTAATATTATTCGAATAGTTACTTTCTATAAGTAAATTTATCTTTTTCACTCATCGCTTTTTCACGTTGTTTTATACTTAATACATCAATAAATTCACTTATGATATATGAATAATTTACAAAACATTTAGTTATTAATCTTGTTCGTAATCAAATTCTGTTTTAAACGAGAACAATTTAGGTTAATAGGCAAAACACTATTTTTGACGAATCTCTTAATACAGATACGATTTCGGAGAGAAAACCCCACAAATGTGTATATAAATTTGATGAAGCAATTTAATCAAATGTTAATAATTTTTTTCTGGATTTTTAATTTTACTAATAGCGAGACTCCAATGCTCATAGGAGTTATTTCATACTTATAAAGGTTTAAGATTTTGACCGATGTAGCTGGTTTTAATTTTATTTCTTGCAGGATTTACTTCAACACAGTTACATGAAGAAGACTGGTTTAGTCAAGTTTTCTTGTTAGGGGATTTAGGTAGATTATATTCATTATTGTACCTAATTATATCGTTAGCATTCAAGCATAAAAATAAAAAAATAAATTATTTTAGTTTTAATCAATTATACCCGGCTCAACCGAAGTTGGAGAGAACAAAAAAAAAAAAAATAAAAGTAGAATAATAATTACTTTCATCATTATTTTAATACGTGTGTATGGCTGAAAAATACTTTTTCATTTTTTTTTTTCTACTTCTTAGTATTTCTTTACAAAAAATATTCTGATTAGATCCTCTCCTCGGAGATGCCTATCAACGATTACGAAGAAAACAAAAGATAAAGTAATAGCGTCTTTCGGTATATTCTTTATAAATAAAATAAGAAAAATCGTGTTTTTGAGATGTGTATTTAAATTGTTTCAGGATATTTTTAGGAGTCTGATATTTTTAAATACTGTGAATTTGGCCAAGTAATGGGCCTGTTATTACGGATGTACAATAAAATAAAAAAGTTTTATGGTTACGTTTGTATTAGGCAATTACATCTATGTAATAAATGGCAAAAAAAAATTGGTTATGTTTGCCCTCGAGAAGTGTAAGGCACTAGCGGATCCAGGATTTAATTTTGGGAGGGGCTTCAGCCCGAAAGATTTTTTTTTCATAAATCTTCATAAAGATAATTTGAAAAAAAAAAAGAAAGAAATTAACTACCTATTTGAAATGGTGTTTAAGTGGTTCCTGAAGTCCTATTGAATGTAATTAAACGAACAAGAACGCTTTAAGAGATAGTTTTTAATATTTTTTTCTGTAAAACATGGTTATATTTTACCATTTTGGGAGAGGGGGAGGGGGCTTGAGCCTGAAAGACCTCCCCCCACTGTAGATCCGCCTATGGTGTAAGGACCTTGTTGTTTGTATATATTTGTAATTTGTTATACTTATATATGTAATCGTAATAAAATAAACTTTTGGTAGGTTCGAAAAAAATAATTAAAAAAAAAATGTGGTTATGTTATATGTTTACTGTTTTCATAGTTTTTGAAATAGAGACTTCAGTAGCGATTAATTTGATTAACTCAACACTTTGGATGTATTTTTAAAATTTTCTTCATATTATTCAAATTATTTTTTTTTAAATAAAACTAAATTCTATTAGATTTACCTGAGCAGGTAGCTGCTATTACCACCAGCAGACAGACGAACCCAGACCGCGATAGCCTCAACTCCATGTTGCTCTTGTGGCAATAACATTAAACTTGGAGCTTTATACCCAACACCCCCACCGCACGACCAAGGACGTTCCAGGGAATCCCGAGCTATGTCTATGGTCCTTAATTTTGCTACGCAGACCATTACAATTGTCAGGTAATGTGTCAATCTCAACTAAACTTTTTGCCGTGTTCCTCACAATTAGAAGTATATACATATTTACTTCAATGACGTATTCTTCGGGATTTCAGAAGTCTTAAGAGGAAAATCCTTCATCAGTCCCTATTGTATAAGATGAACATTGTCCACTGGATCGGTTTTTCGTCCGATTAATGATATATGGAGACCACCATTTAAATGCAATCCTTTCACTCCAGAGAACAAGCGAATCGATATGTATGTTTAAATGTTTTATTGCTAGATAACATCTCACAAATATTACAGCATACATTTGGATCTCGCAGGTATTCTTTTTGAGATCTTAAAAAAATTCTTGTTATATAGTTTTTTTGCAATAAAAATATCAGCCAATAAAGAAATATGACATGATTTTCGGAATCTGCAATGAAATTCATATAAGATACAAACCACTTTAATGTAAACACAGCTTCGTCTGACTATCATAACAATGAATTTTCATTTCATAAACTTTCCAACGGTTTTCAAAACTTTGCGAACCTGATTTCGTAAGATATTAAGATTAGGAGTTCCATAGGTGCCGGCACTTGGCCAATTTGGGAGGGAGGGGGGCGAAGGTTAGTTTAACATGATAACAGAGGTCCATGCATGGAAGGAAGGAGAAGGAATAGAATGCCATAGATAAAGAAGTTGCTTAGCAATCTATTTATTACCTCTAATATAATGCAACTACTAACTATTCGGTTTATTGAGCTTTTTGTGAAATGAATGCGCTTATTTTAAGGAAATGAATGCGAAATATTGGAGAGGCTGACTCTCCCCCATAAAATATTTGGGGACAGAAAGTGTCTTGCCAGGTTACAAAACCAAAACACATAAAAATTAGATAGCTAGTCGGCAGTAGTGTTGGGCAAAATTTATTTTAAATAATAGATAACGAATAATTTATTGGTATTTTCTACTAGAAATAACGAATATTTCCGTTTATCTGTTATCTAAATAATAAATAAATTCAAGTTATCTATTATCTTTTTATTTGTTATTCCAGTTTTTCAAATAATATAACTGTAAATTTCTTTTAGTAGGTCTGTGAAAAAAGGAAAATGGTGTTAAATATTTTACAAATTTTCATTCCAATTTCCTGTTTTATCTTGTGAATTGTTGATCGGTTTTTCATCGATTCAACAATTTTCTGAGTATGCAGAGCCAGGCGAAAATGAAGAATTGGTATAGACATTTTTCCGAATTTTCTTTCGTCTTTTCTATTTTATCTCGGGAACGATGGTCGGTTCTTCATCAATCCAAAAATTTTACGGCTATGTTGATGTTGGGGAAAATATAGAATTATTATAGAACTCTTTCTGAATTTTCTATCGCTTTTCTTATTTTATCTCAGGAATGAAGGGTCGGTTTTTCACCACTCCAATGATTTTCCGGCTATGTAAAGTTAGTCGAAAATATGGAAATGGTGTAGAAAATTTTCCGAATTTCCGTATGCTTTTACTCTTCTATCTCGTGAATGGATGCTCGGTTTTTCACCGTTCCAATAATTTTATAACTATTTAGAGGCAGACCACTGGAAACAAGAGTTGTCCGAATTTTTATTCGCTTTTTCTCATTTATCTCGCGAATGAATGTTTGGTTTTCACTGTTTCAACAGTTTTTCCGGCTATGTAGAGGTAGGCGAAGATGGAGAATTTGTGTTGAAATTTTTCCTAATTTTCATTCGCTTTTCTTATTTTATCTCGGGAATGAAGGATCGGTTTTTCACTGTTCCAATAATTTTCCAATAAAATGTCTTTTTATTTTCTTGTATGGGATATGACTGAGATATATAATATGGCTATATAGTGCTACTTTCTTCATCTGTCTACTAAATATATTCTTTCACCTAATAATGTTTTTGTCAGTTCTTTGTTATATTTTCAAAGATTTTGGATCTTCTTAACGCTGATCGCAGAATTTCTTTTTTCTAGCAGCTTTTTCTTCTTCGCTTTTATCATATGTTTTGCTGTGAATTTCTTTCATATCTAACACTCATCTCTCAAATTAAATGTCTCTGTCGAGGAGAGTTTTGAAAGGTGCTGTAAGCCCTTTTTTTACTGCCTTCTGGTTTACTAGGAAGAAGATCGAACGCAATAAATGGCTCAAGTCATTCTAGCTCACTTATTTTATCAATTACTTTATAATATTAGATTCACATAAATAACATGGGGTTTCTATCTCTTATGATTTATAGCTCATGATTTCCTATATCCATGTATTCTACTCCTTCAAAATAATAAATTAAATAAACGTTTATTTCATTAGCTCTTATAAGGCAGGTTGTGAAAGACATAACCACGAAAATTAGTTTTACATTTTCAAGTTTCGAAAATTTTATTCACTTCATTTACACTTGTTGTATGTACTGAATGTTAATGTTTGTCGAATATTTTTTTAATTTCAATTTCAGTCTTCTGGTTGTGAAAACTTATCTCCAAAATTGCAAGAAACTGAACATTCATTGAACAAATAAAAGAGAAACTTCGGAAATATTATCAACACCATTTCCCTACTGTCGCATACCTCTACATAGCCGGAATATTTTTGGAACGGTGAAAGACTGATCCTTCATTCCCGAGATAAAAGAGAAAAAGCTTATGAAAATTCAGAAATGTAATAGCACAATTATAAATCCGACAGTATTTTCATAAAAAGCGCCCCCGAAAATATAATAGTGGACAGTTATATCGAAAATATTGTTATAGTTATAAAAATACTATGGGAATCGTAATTTTTATATTGATTAACGGATAATGATAATCCAGGTTATCTGTAATAACAAATAATTAGCTATCAAAAGGTTTCGAATAAGAATGACGAGTACAATTTATCTATTATTCGTTATCTACTTAAAAATTCGAATGACGCCTAACACTGCTCGACAGGACTATATCCTGCTAAAGCGAAGATATCTCTATTGTGAAAATATAATAGGCGACCATCAAGCAGCATTCTGTAGAGGAAGGAACACGCAAGACCAGATCTTTAACTTAAAGGAAGTGCCCGAAAACGTTGGGAAGTAGCTCAGGATGTGCACGCCTTAGTTGTTAATTGAGGACGGGATGGTCGAGCACGTTGGAACGTAGAACCAAGAGTTCCTGGTTCTGAACGTTGTCTGTTCGATCCCCTCCTATGTCAATTAATTTTTAATTCTCTGCGGCGCCGGGAAATGAATCTTGACATTCGCACTCTTACCGGACTAGTTTCTCTCCCACCATTATCAGTAACCTCTCCCTTCCTCCCAAGATATTTTATTGTTCTATTCTTCTTAAAAACATTGCAAGCTAATGTAGAATTTTAAAAACCATAGGTCATAGACAAAGAAACTTCCAGTGGGCTGTTTTATGCTTTCCTCTTGTCGACTGATTTGAAACTTTTCTTTCGATCGCCCATAACCCCGTCGAAATGTACACCCCTCAAAAATCCAAAACCCCATCAAAATGTGCTCCTTAAAAAATTGTACGGCACAACTTGCGACATGAAACTCCTTCTAGACACCCCTGTCGACTATGGGTAGAGAAAGGAATGTGCGATTTGCAGCATTGGACTGTATTTTTGATGCAATACCTTCTTTCAATTATTGCCAATTCCTCTTGATGCATCTTGTTTATTTGTTTATATGTGGCACGACAGTAAAATCCTGTTTTCGACAAGCGAGGAATTAACATAATAATAATTATAAGATATCGGTATGTAATTATTATTGTATTTTAAAATTACTATTATGGAAGTAGTATATTTGTTTTTAATTATTTCTCTTGCTTAGATCGATCAATGATCGTTTCAATCGAATTTCGAATATGTGACTCATTGGTTAATGATGATCTGTTCCAACTTTTTCCAAGTCATGGTAAGCGATTAAACTCTGATCAGAAGCTCTTCTATGAAGTGCTTCTAATATTAAGAACCAATATTTGATCAGTAATGTGCTTCGTCGTTCATCACTACACAAGCACAAGGTCAGGCCGGGTTCATTGTTTCTTTCAATCACCGGAAAGTTTTATATTTGTATTTGTAGTGTTGTATAATACATATATGACTTTAAAAATATTCTGAAATACTTTTGATAGAACCTTTATTGTAGTCAACAATTATAAACATAACTAATGAGAGAACGAAAAAAAAAAAAAAACTTTAGCAGGACTATCTGTAAAAATGTACTACTACTTGATACCAGCTAGGGTACTACTAGAGCTGTGCTATATAAGGAAGTACAGTTTCTAGGTCAACGGTTATGCGATGATTTGGCCGAGACTTCGCTCGAACGCCAGCTTTATTCCCTTTTCTAATTAATTTATTTTATTTATTAATTTTATTCTTTAATGTCATTTGCAACTGCGTAGTAGCGCATCTAGCAAATTTGATTTAAATGATTAATTACTTTATTTTACTCGATAATGGCGTGCTTCAGTTATTGGCGAAGCGCAGATTTTTAGACCATTTTCTTTTTAACCTCCAAGGAGGTTAAAAAAGGAGGAAGAAAGTGATGAAACGAGTGGATCGGGATACTTTTCGGAAGTCAAAGAGCGAAAAGTAGCGTATTTATTGTGGTTGTAAGAGTTTAGTTGAAATATTCCAGTCGTTCAGTATAATGTGGTGTACCATAGCACGTTAACAATTTTTCGAAGAATTTTGTATGGTGTTTCTATTTTGTTTATGTGTCAACATAATTAATATGCTTTACTAACTAATTTATTATGAATTAAACCAGGCTAATTTCATATAGGTTGATAGTGCCGCATGGGACGGAACACATCATGTTTTTTTTTCGTGTTTCATCTACCTCACAATTTCTAGCATCGGTAAGGAACAGTGGTACACCAAGACCGGTAGATTTATTTTTATTCAGAGAGGATTTATTTTTGAGATTTCTCAAAAAAACTGTTTGAATGGGGCTTGTTTCGAAAGTGGGGTGGGTATATTTTTGAGGATCCTTAAATTATAATTAAATAAAAAATAAT